TAGGAGGTTGAGACAGGATGATTGCTTAAGGCGAGGAGTTTGAGACCAGCTTGGGCAACATAGTGAGACTCCATCTCTTAAAAAAGCCCAGTGTGGTGGTGTGCTCCCATAATGCCCACTCCCCACAAAGATTTTAAAATGGTAATTTTTATTGTTGCCAATGTATGTAGGCAAAAAAAAAAGAGACATATGGACATGCAAGATGAAATGCCAGTTAACTTAAAATTAATTTTGAGAGCACAAAAACACTGTTTTGGATTTTGATGTTTTCTGCTGGATAATGGAGCAGAAATTTTTCTTTTTCTTCCTTTTTCTCCTAAGATCCAATTGAGGGGGAGAAAACCCACAGCATCTTAAAGATCTTTATTCTTTCATCATGTCTGTGCACTATTGTTAGTGGCTATAATGCTTTATGAAATGTGTTTTATAAAATATATTTTGACTTAAAAGTGTATAGCAGTAGTGATCATTAATTCATTCATTAGAATTTTTTATACTTCATTATACAATAGACTACATGTGAAAATAGGTACAGGAGAGATTTTAAAGAGTTATTAATACTGTTTGGAAATAATGATATGTTAGAATTCCCTTTAGGATTATTTTTTCCCCACTTGAGACCTAGCCTGTCATTGTTTTCATGTAATCAAGACCACTTAAAGTAACAAATGGATTAATGCACTTGTTCTTCCTCTTGAGGAACTCCTTAAAGAACAATTTTGAAAGTATTTATTAATTTGCTTTAAAATAACAACAGTCATTATGTATTAATATAAATAATATTTTTCATGAAAATAATATTCCACACCCCCCAGAATTGATGAGAAAAGAGTGGATTTGTTTTATATTTGCAGATCTCTTTAATATCTACTTTAATGAGAAACATCTGGGTCTTTTCATCTCTAGCTGCATTCATTCTATTGTCTTATATAGCCTCTAGAAAAACCACTGCAAACTGGCAAGACAGTAAGTGAAAAAGAAGTCTTAGGCGATGGGCATGGTGGCTCACACCTGTAATCCCAGCGCTTTGGGAGCTGAGATGGGAGGATCACTTGAGACCAGGAGTTGGAGGTTACGGTGATTTATGGTGGTGTCACTGAATTCCAGTCTGGGCAACACAGCAAGACCCTGTCTCTTAAAAAAAAAAAACAAAAGCTGGGTGCCGTGGCTCAAGCCTGTAATCCCAGCACTTTGGGAGGCTGAGGCGGGTGGATCACGAGGTCAAGAGATCGAGACCATCCTGATCAACATAGTGAAACCCCGTCTCTACTAAAAATACAAAAAATTAGCTGGGCATGGTGGCATGTGCCCGTAATCCCAGCTACTCAGGAGGCTGAGGCAGGAGAATTGCCTGAACCCAGGAGGCGGAGGTTACTGTGAGCCGAGATCGCGCCATTGCACTCCAGCCTGGGTAACAAGAGTGAAACTCCGTCTCAAAAAAAAAAAAACAAAAAAAACCTTAGTGTTACTAGGATAGTAGTTGTGTTCTTCCATTCTCTGAGTGAGAAACTTGAGATCCCAGTTCTCTCCTCTAGGCCAAACAGAACCCCCTGGGGCTTAATTTTAGAGTTGTTGGGTTTACTTAGTATCTCGTTTGTTGGTTTGTCATTCAGAAGGACAGGGGTCTTCTGAAAAATCAGTGTTCTGATTCATGTGTTTGTTTACATTCTCCTAAGTGGAGATCCATGTCTCTCTCCCCACTCCACCTGTGCTGTTCCACAATTCACTAGCTGGCCATCCTCTTGGAGTGAGCAGTACCTCCTGTGGGTGAGTGTGCCCTGGGATTTGCCACTGCTTTGTTTCCAACTACAGCTTTCTTAGGCTGTGCAGGACTAGGTTGCTTAGCTGACAGTGGTCTGTATCATGGAATGAGCCCACCAAATGACCAATTGCTATACCCACATGGTTATCACGCTAACTATTGTCCTTGCATCTCACAGGCAGCAGTGTACCAATAGGACTATCTTTGCCATATCCCAGGCCATATTCAATGGCCGACCAGTCATGATATTCCTGGAGGGCAGCGTCCCAAGGCTGGGACACCCTTTGCCATGCTGTGGCATGGCACATACCCTACTTCCTACTTATACAGCCATCTGAGTGTGGGCTAGGGAGCCCAGACCCTACGCATGGCACCTGTACATCCACACTTGCACCCACTCTCCCTGGTAGATCCTATAGTAGTAGCACATGCCAGTCTCAAAAGTTAATCCACAGGTGTCTAACTCCTCAGTGGTGTTGTGAATGGTTGGATATGGGCTGGGTTCAGCTCCTACATAAGTAACTGGTTATTGTAGAGCTGATCCACAGCTGCAGCTCTAGTGACTCTGGTGATTTTCAGTAACCTAGATCAGTCGCATTCCCACCCCCCGCCCCCCGCCCTGCCATGGCCCTGTCACTCTTAGGTGGCAGTTGTAGTGCATACTGAGGTGACCACCATGACCAAGAATCTTAGTAATAGGGAAACTCAGTTTGGTTCTGCAGAGAGAGCCTGATAGATTAATACCCTATATAAGGAAGGTAGCTGGTGCACAAATTACCCACTCCCAATCCTGGAGGACAGTGATGAAAACAATATAGGACTCTTTCAAGGCCTTGTAGTTGGAAAGAGTCCACTTTAAGGAGGATCTACGGCAGGGCAAATCTGGTGATGGTAACCACAGTAATCTCATTTTCAATGTGATGTGATGACTGTGGCAGTTAAAATGCTTGTTCTGACTGGGCCCGGTGGCTCATGCAGGTAATTCCAGCACTTTGGGAGGCCAAGGTGGTCAGATCACTTGAGGTCGGGAGTTCAAGACCAGCCTGACCAACATGGATAAACCCCATCTATACTAAAAATACAAAATTATCTGTGCGTGGTGGCACATACCTGTAATCCTAGCTTCTTGGGAGGCTGTGGCAGGAGAATGGCTTGAACCCAGGAGTTGGAAGTTGTGGTGAGCTGAGATGGTGTCACTGCACTCCAGCCTGGGCAACAGGAGTAAAACTACACTGAAAAAAAAAAAAAAAAAAAAATCTTGTTTTTGGATCTTAGGATCCTGGGTGCTGCCGGGGTCTATTGCAAGAAAGTTCATGCTCCTTGCCTTTTGATACCTTATGGACTCTTCCCTGAGTTTCCCTGGAGATAAAGTGTGCACTTAAAGAAAATTAGTGTTCAGTGTAGCATGGGCTGCCTAGATACTGCTGGTGGGAATCATGGAATGGGAGTGTGGTTTTATTTTGTGTCAGAACTTTGTGGAAGCTGATTAAACAGAGCAATTGGGGCATTAGTATTGCACCACTAGGACTCAAACTCTGGGCCTTTAGTAAGTCTGATCAGAGTGAAAGCTTTTGCTGAGGATGTTTTCATTAACCAAGGATGAAGGTGAAAGTGGGAAGTTTAAAGAGGTTCAGGCCCTGTGTAGTTACAAACATAAATGTGATGATGTTGACCACTGCATTAATGCCCATGACCCACTGGCAGCTTCCAGGAAACCAGAGCCCTTTGGGTGTGGTAGGAGAAAGGTCTGTTTTCAAAGCTGGAACTGAAAGGCAGCAGCAGTAGAGAGCTTAATTTGGCTCAACATGAACAACCTTACCTGCTTCTGGCACAGACCAGATTGACCTATTGGTAGTTGTTCTGGGGGTGGAGGTGCATGGCTTTTCTACTTGTTGAAGAGATTCTACTGGTAGTTAATCAATAACCAGGGAGACTAACATGCTAACCAGTTACGTGAGTGTTGGGCATCCCCCAATTTACACAAGTGGCATTCAGCCATCTGAGATTGAGCAGTTAGGCTCAGGATCACCCAACTGGTTAGCAGACCAGTAGCCTCCTTGGTTATCAAATAACCAGACAGATCTCTCCATCAGTGTAGAAAAGGCATGCACCCCCACGTGCAGAAGAGTAGCCACAGGCCTGTGTTGCTCTTAAATGCACCACACTGCTCTCGGCATGTGCTCACTGGAATCCGATGGGTGCCAGAGACCCGTTAAGTTCATTAGTGATGGGGATTGGGATTGTAGTAATTCCCCATTAAGGAAGAATTGCCTGTGAGAGAGCAGGCCAAAAGCGTGCATTAAGCTTCTGCCCATTGTCCCTCCCATTGCCACTAGGGATTGGCGCTTGGCCTTGATGGATAGCTGAGAACAGTCTAAAATAAACGTTATAACTAGGGTTCACTAAGTGAATCCACATAGGAGCTTTAGAGTGAAAATGCGAAGGATCAGTTGTGGTTCCTCCTTTATGCTGCTTCGGGGCTGCTCCAGGCAGGAGGATAGACAGATGTGCCCCTAGAGCCGTGCAGTGCTGGGTGAGAGGGTGGGCTGTGGTCCTCAGACCCCTCAGCACTAGACTCCTATCTCTTGTGCTTAAGGTGGCCTCTGGCTCATCTCTTTTGTCTGGTGCCTTTTTGGTTTTGGAGCATCCCCTCCGCTTACCAACTCTTAAAAAGAGAGAGAGAGTGATAGAGAGAGAGAGTGTGTGTGTGTGTGTGTGTGTGTGTGTGTGCGTTTCTGTCTACCTCACACTCTTGTGGGGTGAGGTGACATGAAAGGTGTGTAGTCTAACTGCTCTTAATGTGTTGAGTCCTCAAATATGTTTTGTGGAGTTTAAGCCGTTAGGACTTTGAACTGTTAAATTGTTAAGACTGGAGTTTAAAACTGTTAGGATGCTAATGGTTACCTGATTTTACCTATTTCTGTTATTTGTTGTGGGAGAGCACAGTTTTAAATATAACCATGTGTTCCTGTTATTTTCAACTTTGATTTATTTAAAAGCTGTCATACAAAGGGAACAGCTCATCTTTTAATACATTATTTAGGAAAGTTTTTAGTTTTAAATATACACTTGAATAGCAACTTAATCACAACTTTCAGTGCTCCATGCTATTCATGTTTTGTCAAGTGATAGATTCTTACTTTAATGTGCAATATTTTGGTTTATGGTTTTCTGGTTTTTTTTTTTTTTTGTAAAGTTATAACCAAAGGAAAATTCCATTTTCTTCTTTCATTGACAGACATATGTAGAGTGTGTCGGTCAGAAGGAACACCTGAGAAACCGCTTTATCATCCTTGTGTATGTACTGGCAGTATTAAGTTTATCCATCAAGAATGGTAAGTCATACTTTTAGAAAATTGTGTAAGTCTGAGCTTCAGTTTTATCCTGTATATGATAACAGAGATCATTTCAATGAAGTTTCTCTGTAATTATTTTTTAAATTTTTATTGGATCATCCTGAGCACAGGAAACTAAAAAAGCTCTTTTTTTGGTAAAAATTCAAAAATTTGGAGAAGAAACTATCTAGTAATTGTTAATACCATGGCTGTTATTTTGGTGTATTGCCTTCTGGGTACACGTGATTACCCTTTTGTTTATTTCTACCATGGAGAGCTTATTTTGTCCTCTGAAAGTGTTACGGTTTTCTAGTTTGTCTCAGCATAATAATAACTTAAATTTATGAAGTACTTTGTGCCAAGAACCGTTCTTAGTGTTTTATACATCTCAACTCATTTAATCCTTATAAGAAAACTGTGAGGTGTGGAGTATTATTATTATGCAAATGAAGAAACTGAAGCATAGGAAGGTTAGATAACTTGTCCTGGGCCTCATATCCAGCCAGTTAATGGCAGAACCAGGATTCAGACCTAGCTACCAGATACCACTATTATCAGACCAGGATTAGAACTGATGTTGACGCTTGGGGGTTCTTTCATATTCATTTCGCTTTGAAGAAATTAATTTTGATTAATTGACCTTTTTTAATGATAGAAAAATGTGTTGCTTTCATCTCTAGCTGTTGTAGTGTATATTCTTAGAAAGCAGTTACAAAAAGTTAAGAATATTCTAAATTTGAAATTTTTGAAACTATAAAAACTATGATATATAAATTTTTAATAAAAACAATGTTTTCAAAACTATAGTGCTTCTTTATTGTAAACACTGTACTTATGAATCTGTTTATAATTACAGCTTAGTTCAGTGGCTGAAACACAGTCGAAAAGAATACTGTGAATTATGCAAACACAGATTTGCTTTTACACCAAGTAAGTTCTTAAGATGTTTTCACTGCATTTGTTTTGGTTATTACGGGTAGCATAAAGTTGGTTAATATGATCAGTTGACAGAGGAAGAGGGAATAAAAGTGCTTAAGCAATTTTAAAGTAACTCTTTTCAGCTTGATTATCTTTGATAGTAATAGGAAGTATTGCTATTTTATTTAGGAAGATATTTTTAAAAACTGTATGCTCCCTTTCAACACACACATATGTTTGAGATTTAATATGTGGGGTGGGTTTTTTGTCTTTAAATTTCTTTTTACTTTTAATTGTAGGAAAGTTTGAACACATGCAGGTATCTAACAAGTCCATGTGTACCCATCACTTAGTTTCAACTCATGGCTTGTCTTGTTTTACATATGCTTTCGTTCTCTGCCTTCTTATTCTTTTATTTTTTTCTTCACTCTTTTTTTTTTTTTTGAGACAAAGTCTTGCTTTGTCACCAGGCGCCAGGCCAGTGTACAGCAGTGTAATCTCAGCTCACTGCAATCTGCCTTCTAGGTTCAAGCAATTCTCCTGCCTCAGCCTCTCTAGTAGCTGGGACTACAGGCACATGCCACCACGCCCCGCTAATTTTTGTATGTTTCGGAAGAGATGGGGTTTCACATGTTGGCCAGGATGGTCTCGATCTCTTGACCTCGTGATCTGCCCGCCTCAGCCTCCCAAAGTGCTGGGATTACAGGCGTGAGCCACCATGCCTGGCCTTTTTTTTCTCCATTCTTTTAAAAATAATTCTACCATTTATAATTTCATCTGTACATATTTCAGTATGTATCTCTAAACAGTAATACAACTAGAATACCATTATCCACCTAGAAAAATTCAGTGATGCCTTGATTTCATCAGATATTCAGTTATCTTCAAATTTGGACTATGTTTTGAATTAAACTTGTGTAGATTAGGATAATAGTCATGAAGACAAAGCTTTTTTTTTTTTTAAAGTAATAAATTAAAAATAGAGAGGGATCTCACTATATTGCCAGGTTGGTCTTGAACTCCTGGCCTCAAGCAGTCCTCCTATCACAGCCTCCCAAAGTGTTGGGATTACAGTCATGAGCCACATTACCTGGCCAAACTAAAGTTTTAAAAAATTACCGTTTTTTCACGAGACAAACTTTTTAAGGTCAGTAATCATAAGCCTTCGTAAAATATTTTGCAACCTTTAAGATTTTAACTGTAATTCCTGTGCCTATTAATATTTCATATGGTTCATCTTAAATAAGTAGAGAATTGTGCTAGTAAATTATTAAAAATTTGAAGCATATTCTTTTATTCTGGGATCCCCTATATTGTCTTCCCTTACAAAGAATTTTTCATGTTTTAGGGGTGTGTGTGTGTGTGTGTGTGTGTGTGTGTGTGTGTTTTAAAGGATCTTGAGCTTCTCAATATAAATGCTGTAAAGTAATGTTTTACTTTATTTTTATTTGACGAGTATAAATGATTAAAGTTACGACATTTTCACTTTTGGAGCTGTATATTCATCATCATAAAAAAAGCCAATTCTGTTACTTTGTAGTCATTAATTTTCTGTAGTACATAAAAGCTGTATAGCTTGTCAAGGTTTATAGGAGACTAAGACTAAATAGTTATCTTTATGAAGTTCTGTTGATAGGAATACTCACTTGGGTATTTGATAGTTATATTCTCTTTTATCTTTCTCAAAAAATCTATTATTACTGGTTTTAATGACTTGTTCTTGTATACTAGATATCCTATTGAAGTCAACGATCTGTGGGCATGTGTTTTTTAAAGTTGCTATTTGTGGCTGAGCACAGTGGCTCACGCCTGTAATCCTAGCACTTCGGAGGCCGAAGTGGGTGTATCACCTGAGGTCAGGAGTTTGAGACCGGCCTGGCCAATGTGGTGAAAACTGTGTCTCTGCCAAATATACAAAAATTAACTAGGCATGGTGGCGGGCACCTGTTACCCCAGCTACTTGGGAGACTGAGGCAGGAGAATCACTTGAACCTGGGAGGCAGAGATTGCAGTGAGCCGAGATCACACCACTGCACTCCAGCCTGGGCAACAGAGTGGCACTCTGTCTCAAAAAAAAAAAAAAAAAGAGGTTGCTATTTGTTAATTGTTTATTTCTCAGTGTTCATAGGGGTGAACCATTTGTGATAATGCTCTTATAAATTTTAGATCATTGCTTTTAAAACCAGATAAATCATAATTTTTTGTTTTGGCCTTATTGGAGAAAGAGGTGTTTGTTTTTTCTGGACGTTCCTGTATGTTTCCCATATGTTTTTAAATATGTTCTTTCTGAGCTACCTGTGGTAAAGCTTTTTAATAATAAGCAATGGTTTTTTATTGAACCATTTTAAAAGGGAATCCTTCTAAAACGTGGCAGAATCTTTCTTTTTCTGAATGGTCCAGGATGATTGAGAAGAAAGAATGGTTTTTTTCTCTCTTCCCACTACATGTTGCAGAGTAGTGGGAAGATCTTTGTTTATCATTTGAAATCTTAAGTATTATGCTAACATTGGGAAAGTGGCTCACAAATGTCAGTGGGATGTTTGCTCCCACTTGAGATGATCTGCTGCAGACTGTTGTGCTTTTTGAGTGCTATTCAATGCTTATATTTGGAGGAGTTATTTTTTGATGGCATGTTGTCAGCTTCATCTTTTGCTCCTGCTTGCTTTACATATGTTCTATAGTTTGGGAAACCAGATGATTAAATTGGTTGAATGTTAAAATATGTATAAATGGGCCTTGTATGAGGTTCATGGCTATGAGCAAGGGATGTGAATATTTGTTGAACAATTTTCCTGCTCAGAGTCTGTTGTTGATTTCCACATTTCAGATATGATTTGCCTCATGAATGACTTCTTGGGTAAATGTGATATTGTAACCATTTGGTTTATTTTTTTAAATAGGAAAAAAAATTAAGCACAAGGTAAATATTGGAAGTTTAATGGCTATTTTATATTTATGAATTAAGCTATTTTCAAATATTCATGAAATTGTAAGTACTTTTTTCCTGCTTATAGTTTATTCTCCAGATATGCCTTCACGGCTTCCAATTCAAGACATATTTGCTGGACTGGTTACAAGTATTGGTACTGCAATACGATATTGGTTTCATTATACACTTGTGGCCTTTGCATGGTTGGGAGTTGTTCCTCTTACAGCATGTGAGTATTCATGCCTCTGGTTGGAGTTATTTAAACATTGCATAAGTATTTAATATTATAAAGCAATATTGTATCATATTATTATTTGAATGATGTTTAGTTATTTGACGCCATAATGTCATGTATTAGGAAAGCCGTACTTCGAAGATGTTCAGCTGAACTAAGAATGAGTTTAACAGTTCAGTTTCTTGAATGAATGTGGGAAAGAACACAGCATACAGAGAGGCTAACTATGAAAGTTCCATGAAAGAATTGAAAAAGTAAAATCAAATTATAATTAGATTTGAAGTATACTGGAGCTTTCAAGGACTGCAAAAGATGAATTCTTTTGGGATTTTGCAACCCTCCTTTAAAAAAATACTCACATGGCCAGGTGTGGTGGCTCATACCTGTAATCCCAGCATTTTGGGAGGCCAAGGTTGGCAGATCATTTGAGGTCAGGAGTTTGAGACCAGCCTGGCCAACATGGTGAAACCCCCTCTCTACTAAAGATACAAAAATTAGTTGGGTATGGTGGCATGCCTCTGTAATCCCAGCTACTTGGGCGTCTGAGACAGAAGAATCACTTGCACCCAGGAGGCAGAGGTTGCAGTGAGCCGAGATCACGCTGCTGCACTCCAGCCTGGGCGACAGAGTGAGACTTGTTGCAACAAAATCAAGATAAAATAAAAATTAAAAAGTATGTAATGGTCCTAAATAGTTGGGAGGCTTATCTTTCAGATATAGGAAGCTCTTTGGAAGGTTGGTATACTAATCAGCCCCGCAATCAATCCAAGGAATCCTCTTGGATTCTTTGTTGTTTTTATAGACATGGAGAGAAGTAGATAGTATATGGGTGGCAGAATATATAGAAAGATTCATCAGAGTAAACAAGAGTCTTAATTAGTATAATTAATATTCTCATGTCTCTTTATAATATGATACAATAAGCTTGATGACCTATGGAAATGAAATTCTTGGGAGATACACCAACTAGCAGAATATAGGTACTGTTGAAGAGTGAGTTAACTAGAAAATTGTACCAAGGAAATCTCACAGGATGTAACTCAGAGGGACAAAGTAGTTACAAGTATGAGAAATACATATTGAGAAATGGAGGCTAGTCTAGTGGAGATGAGGAAACAATTGGTGTCTTTTAGATAGAAAGAGAATGCTGGCCATGGTAAAGGGAAAGTCTCACAAACCTAGACATATTCTCAAGTTTTCCAGAGCTGGGTAAGGTGTTGGTGATGGAGGTATAGAGATTGTATGCCAGATTATCCTACAAAGTAAAGAAAATAAGGGTGGCATCAGGCTTAAAATTAGCGATGTTCAATGTTGGAAGACAATGGAATCTTCAGAATTTGACATTTTGAACCTAAAATTTTCTTCCTGCAAATTATTCTCAGATGGAAGGAGAAACTACAATCGTTTCAATAGATGTACAGGTTTGGAAAATTTGCCACCTTAAACCTTTTTGGAAAACTGTTTGAGGATATACTTTACTAAATGAGCAAGGAGAGAAGGATGTAAGATACAAAGAAGTGCTTCATATAGCTAAGGCTCAGTTGTTAGTCTACAATAATTAATAGGTTTGGGTAACAGACTGGAACTAAAATTCCAGATGATCTTAACGTGGGAGAAATTGTGAGGGGAAGATAGAAATTAAAGCTTTTAAAATTTCTTGTCTCATTTGTGGGGAGATTATAGATGTTCTAGATGTAGGCAGAAAAATACAGGGTAACTATGCATTGAAAATACAGGAGTAACCAGAGTCCAGAACTAGACTCACAACTACATTGTTACATGATTAACAACAAAAGTGCCATCACAGATCAGTGGAAAAAAGATGGCCTTTTCAGTAAATGGTATAGCAACAACTAGATGGCCATACAGAAAAAAAAAATGAATCATATCATTACCTCAACCTCAGCCTAACACAGAAATTAATTTGAGATGAATTAAAAGCCTGAGTGTGAATGTTAAAGAGAAACTTCTAAAATAAAATATAGGTGAATAAGCATAAAAGAAAATACTGATAAATTGAAAATTATTAAAATTAAGAACTTCTCTTCATCCTTAGACACTTTTAAGAATAAAAGGCAATTGAATTCTGGCACTCAAAAAAAAAAAATTTGAAAGGCAAGCCCAGCCATGGAGTGAGGGAAGATATTTGCAGTACACATATCCAACAAAGGACTTACATCTAGAGTATATAAAACAATAACAAAGGCAAGCACATCCCAATTAAACAATGGACAGAAGGTTTGAACAGGTATTTCTGGAAAGATAGCTAAGTATACTAAGCCCTCCTATCTGTGGGTTCTGCAATGCTGAATGTGGAATTTGAGCATCTGCTTATTTTATTATTGAGGAGAGTCCTGGAACCCAGTCAATGTGGATACCAAGGGACAACAATAGCCAGTAAACACATGGAAAAGTGCTCAGCATCATTAGAAAAATGTACAAGGAGGGTGACAAGAAATAAAAAGAGTAGACAGTGCCAAATGTTGCTTAGGAAGTAGAGCATCTGAAACATGTATACAATGATCAAGCACATGTTGTAACTTTTCGGAAAACTGTTTGGCAGTATCTACTGAGGCTAAATATTGCAGATACTTACGATCTAGCAGTTCCATTCTTGGTAATATAACTAACAGAACAAGAACTTTCTGTTCATTAAAGGATATATATATATATATATAAGAATGACCACAGCAGCTTTAGTAATAGTACTTAAAAACTAGAATCAGTCAAATGCCTGTTAATAGTAGAATGGGTACATTGTGGTTTATTCATACAATAGAATACTACATAGCAGTGAAAAAAGAACTGACTGTTGTGACTTGAAATAACATAGATGAATTTTGCTTCTTTGACAAAAAAATCATAAAATTGTATGATTGAATGTATGTGAAATTTTAAAACAGGTAAAATTCATCTCTAGTGATAGAGATCTGAATAGTGATTACCTTTTGCAGGGGCTGTTGCCTGGGAAGGAGCTTGAGGGAGCCTTCTGGGGAGCTGGAAGTATGGAACATCTTGATTTGGGTGGTAGTCACCCAGGATATACATATTTTAAGAATTCACCCATCTATACACTTAAGATATATGTTAAAATGTACTTTAATAAAGACATAAGAAAACTCAAGGGCGACTGCTAGAAGAATAGAAATAGGATGATCAGTTTTTCATCCTGGGAACTGGGAGTGGGAAACAGCAAATAAAATTTGGAAATTTCAAACAAAGGCAGGAAAGAAAGGAAGGGAAGGCAGAGGAGGGAAGTACGGAAATAGATAAATGTATCTGTAATCATAAAGGTTTAGAGTTCTCTATTATAAGAGAGAACTTCATAAATGTGTAAGTATAAAACTTGCACTACAAGAGAATATACAAAGCAGCACAGGTTAATGCTAAAGAGATAGAAAAATAATTTTGTTAGCAAATGGCTAACAAAAAGCCATAGCAATGTTAATCAGTCAGATATCATTCAAATGCATTAAATGGGGCAAAGCATTATATTTCATATTAATAAAAGGCATAATCCATTAAGAAAATATACTTGAACTTTTTAGAAAACTGGGCCTTGAAATATGTAAAGCACTCACAGCCATATTGGAAGACTAACGTACCACTCTGAAATCAGTAGATCAAATAGGCAAAAGTAAAGACTTTCAAGATTTAATATCACAAATTAATCACAAGCTTTATTTCTGTTCTAACTTGTTTATATTCAGATACACACATGTAATTTAGATTACATCACACAATACATATTCTGTAACTTTTCTCTTTCCCTTACCATTGTACCCTGGCTCTCTTTCCATTTTTAGTGCGTGTTCTGCTGTCTTACTATTTTTTAAATGATGTACAGTACTGTAGTAGGGACTACTGCATATGAACCCATTTACCTATCTAGACATTTGGTTTGATTTCAGTTTTACATTGTTAAAAGCATACTTGTGTGAGTATTTTATACACATATATAAGTAATTTTTATTATAGAAACTCTTTTCTTACCTTTTCATTTTGACTTGGTTTTGAAAACAGCCATTTAAGTCACTGAAAATTTCTAATACAAGGTTATATAGGGAATGCTTAAGGTAATAAACAAATACTGGTTTGCAAGAAAGCTGCAGGTTTTTATTCTTGTGCCCCATTTTCAAATCTGTGGTCTGTTATCTCATTCTGTCTAGAATTCTGCCTTTCTGACTAAAAGACTTTCTGCCTTTTCCGACAAAGATGGTGAGGGAATAGCAGTACATTCACCCATACTTTGTCTTTCCCTAAATGACCAGAATTTAGAATAATATATTCTATATTTTAGAGGACCTGTGAATCTGTGCTTTTAAAATATTGATTGTCAGGATGCCATTTATGGCATTGCAGTACATACTCTACTGAAAAATTCTCTTAATTTCAAAGACTTGTACCTCCAAAATGGAAACCTTTTATTTTCATGAGCAGACTTAATGAATTTTGGAATTCTAGAATTAAAAAATGATTTATATTGTAATTTTGGAGATCTTCAGTTTAGATTTTTTTTTTCAAACCTCTAAGCTCAATCATTAAAAAAAAAAAAAAAAAAAAAAGCAAGTAAACCTAGAGAGAATCTAAGTGGTAATAAACATGATTGTGTAACATTTACTCTTCATTGTCACTATATTTGTGCTTGACCATGTTTTCAAAAATTCAGTATTTTGAGACTCAGGCTTGTAAATACTAAATGTTTATTTCAGTGGCATTTGTGGTGTTTCACTGTACCTGTGCTTTCTTGAGCAGCTCTATGAGTTCATGATGCAAGTTGTGACTGTATGCCATCGTGCTCTTTTTTGGTAGGCCGCATCTACAAGTGCTTGTTTACTGGCTCCGTGAGCTCACTACTGACACTGCCATTAGATATGCTGTCAACGTGAGTATTGAACCTGTGTGACAAACATTGCATGGTGTAGATGATGCTTGCTTTTTTCTTCACATATTTATTTTTGTTATAATTTGTAAATTATCTTTTTTGAGGACGAATAATTTGTGTCTGTTATACCAACAGTTATAGCTGCAGTAGAAGTAGCTGATAAATGGAAATGACATTTCTTTTAAAATATATGTGTTTTATGGGACTGTTTTGTAATGATGGGATGACTTTTTAAATAGACTGTCATGCAGTTTAAGATACATACTACTGTCTTATGTTCATATAAGGAGAGTTCTTTTTTTGTTGTTGTTTTTAAAGACAGAGTCTTGCTCTGTTTTACCTAGGGTAGAGTGCAGTGGTGTGATCTCTGCTCACTGCAACTTACACCTTCTGGGTTGAAGTGATTCTACTGCTTCAGCCTCCCGAGTACCTAGGATTACAGGCACCCACCACCATGACCAGCTAATTCTTGTATTTTTTTATTTTAAGATAGAGTCTGGCTCTGTCACACAGACTGAAGTGCAGTGACACAATCTCAGCTCACTGCAGCCTCTGCCTCCTGGGTTCAAGTGATTCTCCTGGCTCAGCCTTCTGAGTAGCTGTAGCTGGGATTACAGGCATGTGGCACCAAGTTCAACTATTTTTTTTGTATTTTTAATAGAGATGGGGTTTCACCATGTTAGCCAGGCTGGTCTTAAACTCCTAAACTCAAGTAATCTGCCCTCCTGGGCCTCTCAAAGTGCTGGGATTATAGGCATGAGTCACTGTGCTTGGCCAAGAGTTAACTTTAATGTGTGCTTTTAATATACACATTTAAACTCAGGTTTATTTTAAAAATATTTTTCCATAATTATTAGAATATAAATGCTAAAACTTGCTTGTAGTTAGTTTACTGTATCTTGACATCAAGCATTGTTGCTGCCTTATATTGGCAGGCTTCTTTTTCCCTCTGACCTGAATGGCTTGAGGGTTGCTTGAATTGCTTTCATTAGATTACTCATTGACTCCAGAGGAACACTGGAGGCCTGGTGGGGATAGTTGAAAGAAATTATAAACATGGATTGGTTTTTTTTAGAGTTTGGAAAATCGAGCCAGTTTTTCTGATAGAAGTTGTAACTAAACTTACTTTTTTTCTGAATAATATTTTGTATCTCTATAAATTTTTTTTTCTGCAAAATTTTACTTTAAATTTCCTTAATGTCTTATGAGTTGCTATATATTCTGTAACTCAGTAATTGAGGTCATTGGTAGGTGCACTGTATCACTTAATCTATTGCTGCAAAACAAACTGTTCCAAACCTTAGTGGCTGTTACCATTTTATTTCCTTATAATTCTGGGGTCAGCAGTTTGGGCTCGGCTCAGCTGAGCCTTTCATCTATTGGGCTTGTCTAGGTCACTGAGCTGTTTTACTGGGACTTAATGATCTAAGGTGGTTTGTCTGAAATGTCTTGATTCTCCTCCTAAGGCCTCCTTTCTTCTAGAAGGCTAGTGGGGCTTCTTTACATGGTTGTCTCAGGGCCGCATTCTAAAAGGGCAAGAGTGGAAGCTTGCAAGCCTTCTTTTGAACTCTGGAATTTGGGCAGCATCACCTTTATCCAGAATTCACAAAACCAGCCCAGATTGAAGGAATAAGGGGAAAGGACTCTAGAGTTTGTCACCAAATCTTTAATATCTGCAATAAAAAGGATTATTGCTGATGGCAAGGAAGATGTAAAGGGGATATTTTGGTCCCAACCTTTCAGAATTTAATGGCCTGGAGAGTTCCTTAGTAAGGTGGTAGTTTGAATTTCTCTTGATTTAGGACATACTGAAGACAGTATTCTCCTAGGGGCCATGCCGATCTAGTTAAAGTTTGGAGCTGCTGGGTCAAGGTCTACTAAATTGACACGTCCTGTGGTTTTCTATGGAAGGAAAACATGATTCCATTAAAATACTGGATTTTCCGAGGGCTAATGTTCCAGAGGTTTTTGAGTTACCTGAATAATTCTGAAATCATAAACATGGACTAGGGAAGGAAAGCTAAGCCTCTTAATAGAGGAAAAGGACAAAATGGTCCTCAGTATGACAATACTTGGTGCATTTTCTTGTATGATTACTAAAGGAAACATACTTCACCTTTCTGGATTTGTTGAGAAACTAAATATACTTTTGGTGTATTTGCAGTTAGCGTCAAAACTTCATTTGCTTCCTAAGTGAAAAACTTCTTCTTTTTTTTTTCTTTGAGATGAGTCTCACTCTGTCACCCAGGCTGGAGTACAGTGGCTCAATCTCTGTTCACTGCACCCTCTGTCTTCTGAGTTCAGGTGATTCTGCTTTTTGAGATGGAGTCCTAATCTGTTGCCCAGGCTGGAGTGCAGTGGCTCAATCTCAGCTCACTGCAACCTCTGTCTCCTCTGTTCAACCAGTTTTGCTGCTCAGCTTCTTGAATAGCTGGAATTATAGGCGCATATCACCATGCCCAGCTAATTTTTATATTTTTAGTAGAGACAGAGTTTCACTATGTTGGCCAGGCTTCTCTCAAACTTATGACCTCAAGTGATCTGCCTGCCTTGGCCTCCCAAAGTGCTGGAATTACAGGTGTGAGCCACCGCGCCTGGTCAAGTGTGACAAACTTCTATAAAATTTATAATAGACCTCTTTGTCTTACACATGGCATACTGAATATTTCTCAGCCTTCATTATTTTATGTTGTCATTAGGTTTTTCTAGGGGAGCTTCTCTTTTCTGATTTGATGATTCTGTTAATTTGTGTGGGTTCAGGTGTCAGCTAATCAAGTTTTTTGTGTAAAGATACAGAAATTCTTTTGGACAGAGTTTTTAACCTTTGGTAAATTAGATAAATTTAATGCATGGCTTTTGTCAAGTGTTAGGTTGCTTTTGTGTTTTCTGCTTGTGTCTTTCTGTTTCTAGGCCACGTTCAAAAGATTGGTTATGGATAACTAATTTCCATATAGTTCTGATGGTATTTGATGCTTGAATAAGATATATAATACAAGTATGTAAATATATATATAGGTTCTCATATAAATAGAATTTCGCCATCATCACAAATAATTCTTTTGGAGAAACTTGAGATTTTTTTTTTTTTTTTTTGAGATGGAGTTTCACTGTTGTTACCCAGACTGGAGTGCAATGGCACGATCTCGGCTCATCGCAACCTCCGCCTCCTGGGTTCAAGCGATTCTCCTGCCTCAGCCTCCCGAGTAGCTGGGACTACAGGCGCATACCATCATGCCCAGCTAATTTTTTGTGTTTTTAGTAGAGACGGGGTTTCACCTTGTTGACCAAGGATGGTCTTGAGCTCTTGACCTCATGATCCACCCACCTCGGCCTCCCAAAGTGCTGGGATTATAGGTGTCAGCCACCGCGCCCGGCCCAACTTGAGATTTTTATCCAAAAATTATGATTTATTTTTTGGCTTTTTTTTTTTTGAGACTTTAGTGTGTAAAAGAAAACTTTTTACCTTTGATTTCTTAATTTCAAGTGTTCTTTCGAGTAATTATATGTACTTTTTTTTTTAATAGGGAAAATTTGTTGGCAGATTGTTTGCAGGGTTGTTTTGTGGTGACATGTACCCTGTGTGCATTCATCAGCCTGGTGTGGTTGAGAGAGCAGATAGTCCATGGGGGAGCACCAATTTGGTTGGAGCATGCTGCTCCACCCTTCAATGCTGCGGGACATCACCAAAATGAGGTAACAACACTACCCCAAAATTTATTTAGATAGGTCATGGAAATTATTGTCTCTCTCTAAGACTCAAACTCTTGACTTCCATGTCCCTCATAATTCTTTTGTTATTACAAAGTAAGGCAGTGGAAAGGTTTGGGTGAAGATTAGGAGAGATGTGAAAAATCAAGAAAGTGGTATTATGATTTTGCCTCTTAATTTTCTAGCTAGTTTGGAAACAGCATTAGAGGGTATACTAAAGTCTGTATGCACGGTCTTACCCACTGAGCAGAAATTTGAAAACATTTCCTCAAGTGTTTGATAATAGAGAATTAAGTTATATATATGAGTGTGTGTGTAAGGTTTTTAAAAAAATGTATTTTCATCCCTGATGTTGTCAGTAAAGACAAAAGATGTATTATAAAAAGGATGTTTTTTTTTTTTTTTTGAGACGGAGTTTTGCTCTTGTTACCCAGGCTGGAGTGCAATGGCACGATCTCAGCTCACCGCAACCTCCGCCTCCTGGGTTCAGGCAATTCTCCTGCCTCAGCCTCCTGAGTAGCTGGGATTACAGGCGCGTGCCACCATGCCCAGCTAATTTTTGTATTTTTAGTAGAGATGGGGTTTCACCATGTTGACCAAGATGGTCTCGATCTCTTGACCTTGCGATCCACCCACCTCGGCCTCCCAAAGTGATGGGATTATAGGCGTGAGCCACTGCGCCCGGCCATAAAAAGGATGATATTTTTAAGAGAGCTAGATTTCTTAACCATTTTCTATGATACTTTGTGAACTGTTGATCCCTTAACTCTACTGAATGAATATGTACATGAAGTGAGGTTATGTTCTTATATACTAAAATTGATCCCACATTGGATACATTTAAAAAAGATATCTTTGAAAGGTTTTCATTTTTTAAAAAAAATTTAGTAGGGTTTATATTTGTTTTCTAGTTTTTTTGTTTTGGGTTTTTGAGATTGGGTCTTGCTCTGTCACTCAGGCTGGAGTGCAGTGGCATGATCATACCTCACTGCAGCCTCACAACCTCCGGGCTCATGAGATCCTCCTAACTTGGCCTCCTGAGTAGCTGGGACTACAGGCACAAACCACCATGCCTGGCTAACTTTTAAATTTTAGGTAGAGACAGGGTCTTGCTGTGCTGCCCAGGCTCATCTCGAACTCCTGGGCTCAAGTAGTCCGCCTGCCTCAGCCTTCCAAAGTGCTGGGATTACAGGCATGAGCCACTATACCTGGCCTGATTTTTTTTTTTTTTTAAATGTATGAATAATGTAATTTGGAAACAACAAAACAGACAAGTAGGTCTAAATTTCTGGACTTTTCTGTGATTTTTAGGCTCCAGCAGGAGGAAATGGTGCAGAAAATGTTGCTGCTGATCAGCCTGCTAACCCACCAGCTGAGAATGCAGTGGTGGGGGAAAACCCTGAGGCCCAGGATGACCAGGCAGAAGAGGATGAGGAGGAGAATGAGGAGGAAGATGATGCTGGTGTGGAAGATGCAGCAGATGCTAATAACGGAGCTCAGGGTAATGGCTGCTTGTATGTCCTCACTCTTTCTTCAGCACTGCAAATCTGTTCTCAATTTGCATAGAGGAAAAGCCCTGGCGTTTTCAAATTTTAATGTTCTGAAATTCTATTTCTAACTTATTTTTACTTTATTTTGGCACACTGGCATTTATGGAAGTACATATGCATAAATATGTTTTTTTCCTATGAAACAGGGCATGTTTTGTGTTTTAAAATCCTTTTTACACAGGACTTTTTTATAGGATAGATAGGAGAAAGTTATTTTTTAAGTTGGATTAGGTACTACTTTTTTAAAAAATAAAGGACTTTGGTACAGATTTACCTCATTTATTTGCTTTTCTCTTTCCATGTCCCTTGAGTCAGTGCAACTTTTAAAACTGAAGAAGAATCTTGAAGTGTATACTGAAGACGAGGTGCCATCTAAAGAAATCAGATGTCTCATGTTCTAGCCGTGTTAACTCTAGATAATGTAAGAGGAGTTTCAAGACAGGAAGCAGTTGGATCACCTGAGGTCAGGAGTTCAAGACCAGCTCAGCCAACATGGTGAAGCCCCATCTCTATTAAAAATACAAAAAATATCTGGGTATGGTGGTGTGCGCCTGTAATCCTAGCTATTTGGGAGGCTGAGGCAGGAGAATCTCTTGAACCCAGCAGGTGGAGGTTGCAGGGAGCTGAGATTGCGCCACTACACTCCAGCCTGCGTGACAGAGCAGGACTCCATCTTCAAAAAAAAAAGGTTAAGGACAGGGTCTGCCTGTCAGCTGTTGGTCACTCACTTCCTTTTCTCCCTCCCACCAGAGTTTTCCTGTCAAGCTTTGCACTGTCTCAGGGTCTACTTGACATGCCTGATATTTGAGTGTCTCTTTGTGTCAGGCAATGTTAGACACTAAGCATATAACTGTGACCAAAACATTAGGCTGCTGCATTCCCAAAGTTTCTGGTTTAGTGAAGAAGTAGGAAATACATGTCGTGATAAGTGTTGTACAGGTTGCTCTGAGGATGCTGTTGGGGAGAGACCTATTTAATATTTTTGAGACAAGGTTTTGCTCTGTCACCAGGCTGGAGTACAGTGGCACGAACCCAACTCACTGTAGCCTTGAACTTTTGGGCTCAAGCGATCCTCACACCTCAGTTCCAAGTAGCTAGGACTACAGGTGTGTGCACCATGCCCAGCTAATTTTTTTTTTTTTTTGTAAAAATGAATTCTTCCTGTTGTCCTGGCTGGTCTTGAACTCCACGGCTCAGGTGATCCTCCTGCCTTGGCCTCCCAAAGTGCTAGGATTACAGGCATTAGCCATTGTGCCTAGCCTAGACCTATTTTAAATAAGGTTTCCCAGGTAGCTCAGAGTATGTGATATTTGAGCTGAGACCTCTGAAGGATGAAAAAAAGTGACTTGTGTAATGGGAACAGGGGGCCTTTGCCGGAGAGGTAAGAGGCTCTAAGAATGCAGCCTGCTGCTACCCTAGGGCCTGGCCATTATTTCTCTCTCGATCTAATATAGGAGCTCCTACCTATTCTTGCTCCTTCCATTCTTGCTCCACATAGTTCATATTACTCTGCTGCCTCTAAATCTTTTAGTAATTTTCCCATTATATTACTAAAGAATAAAATCCAGACTCCACATTCCTGTTGATCTGATTTCTGTCTACTACCCTCATCATCACTCAGAATGTCCTAGTCCCCTGGCTTCCTTACTTTTCTCAAATCTGCCAGATTCTTTCCTGACTTAGAGCTATTGAATTCCTCTCTTTCACATAACCCTATTTATTCCTTTTCTAGCTTTTATCTCAATCTAGGATTACCTTCTTTTATATGTATTATTTATTTATATGTATGTTTTAATTCTTATTTGTTCCCTGACAAGCAGATACTCAGTATGGAAATGTGGCTTAGCTTCTGAACAACAGCTTACAAAGTACTAAGTTTTACTATTTTTAGTGCATTTGACTATTTTTTATTATTATTTTTAGTTCAAGTTCCATCAGTAACCTTTAAATTGCAATTATATTTTCAGATGACATGAATTGGAATGCTTTAGAATGGGACCGAGCTGCTGAAGAGCTTACATGGGAAAGAGTACGACCTTTTTCTGTCAAGTATCCTGGTGTTTTAATCTTAAAATATATTTTAAACTTTGATACATTTAGATGTATACACTAATTTTATAGTTACAGTTGATGAAAAGTTACTAGAATTTTCATTCCTGGAGAAAGTTAAGTCATATACTTTTTGTGGTGAAAATATTGTGACGTTGGTGGCTTTTTTGGTGTCTTACAAACCTTGCTCCATTTAGGAAATGTTTTACCTAAAATTGTGGACTTTTGAAAAACAAAGTAACAATTTAAATTTAAGTAGTATTTTCATGCTTTAGTTGACAAAATAATACAGTTGTATTATGAAGTCTTGATTATCTCTATATCTTCAGTAAGAAATCCAAGATGGAATTTTTTAGACTTTATAAATCATATAATTTTGAATAAAAGGAGACCCAAAATATAAAACTCATAAACAGAAATTTTTTTATTTTCTGAAAATGATAGGAGGCATTGGGAAGTAGTGGATGAGGACTATGTTTAAAGATATTGAAAGAAAATGAGTTTTTTTTCCATAAATTAGGATAAAAAATTCTGTTGCATCTTGAATTAATGCGTATCATTTTTGTTTATTTTAGATGCTAGGACTTGATGGATCACTAGTTTTTCTGGTAAGTAAAACTAATTCCTTTTAATAACAGAATTGGGGTTATCTTAGTGACTCAGAAACTTCACATTTATAGTATGTGGTAAAGGTCTAGATGCCCTTTGGCTTTTGCTTACTTTATATGTTGAAGATTATATGTTTTGTGTGCTGAAAATACTGAAAAAGCATATAGGCAATAACTATTTTTTAAAAATTATTAAATACTTGATTTTTAGCAAAGAAAAACTCCAGAGTTAATGGTAGTTAAAAAGAACTTGGTCTTCTTTTAAAGTTTCATCTTGCAGTGTTTATTGCCTGTACTGGTGGAAGCAAAGCAGTTTTGCATAGTTTGACAGTGAAAGCCCCAGGCTGCTGTTAGGTTTTCCTGTTTACTGAACTCCACCCGTCTTTACCTAGGAACTCTGCCTTATTAGTAAAGATTGCAACTCTTAAGGTGAGGAGCCGCTCTTTAAAGAGCTTGTTCTTTAAAGAAAACTTGTTCTTGCAGGTAGCAGAACCCCTACTAGTTGAAACATTTATTTAACAGGAAGTCCGGAGGAAGAATGGGCTTGAGGGTTGCTTGATCTATAGGCCCAATGATGTCATCAGAGTCCCAGATATCTCTGTCAGTCTCCTTTGCCATCCTCAATGTTGGCCTTCTCAGGCTGGCTGCAGATGAGGAGAATCTGGTTGAATTTAACAGTGTGTGGATTTTTAGGACCATATCTGGTATAATTCCACAGTTTTGTGGGAATGTGATATTAATGAGTGTCTAGTCATGGTTTGATCAGTCAGTATAGAAAGCATTATTTGGCCACATATTAATTTATATTTCTTACCCCATCAGTTCTTCATAAATGAAGGACAGAAGTCATTGAGGTAGTGGTGTTGACTCAAACCCATGTGAGTTATTGGAAAAACCTTTCACAGGATGAATTCATTCAGTAAAAAATATTTAATATGTATAGTGTGCCAGCTATTCTGATAGGCACTGGGGAGTTCAGTGACAAATGAGGCAGGTTCCCTGTTTTCAAAGATGCTGTATAGTGTGGTGGAGAGAAATGAACATGTACACAAGGAATGTTTTGGAGGTATGTGTTAAACTCAGTGACAGAAAGTGTGCATAGGACACAAGAGGGGCACAAACGAGGGCTTGATTAGGTCTTTCTTAGTGGAATGGAGTTCGTCAGCTGGAAATTTTCAGCAAAGATTAACTTAGATGTTGAAGCATAAAAGATGTTGGGGATAGGGAAAATTTAGGAGCCATGAAGGCAGAGAGGTTGGAAAAATTGAGCCAACATAGTGAGAAGAAATAGTAGTCATTTACAAACTAATCACCCTTCTAGCTGATTGTATTTGTAGACGATTAGGGGACCTGAACAGAGAAATCTTTAAACAAAAGCTCTTTGGAAGGATCCTTTAACTTGATGGTTGGGGAAGGTTGTGGGCATGAATGAATGGACTTGGGCAGTCTGGTCAATGTCAGCATGGGGCATAGTTTAAAGTGTGTGTAACATGGCTGAAGGAATAGGCAGACAGACGTGACAATATGTAACTGTGAGAGGGGACCAGATGGTCAGGTGAGACAGGACAAAGAAAGTCAGGGCACCATAGGGAGTGGAGGGACCAGAGGAGAACAAGCTAGAGTTTTCCAAAGGGGAGGTAGCCAGGCAGTAGTGACCCTGCAAGTGTCAGGAAAGCAGAGTGGACGTTGAAAGGAACACTGCAGTTGACATTAACATCATTAACATGATGTTTACAATTAATTTGGCTTTCAAATTTTTCTCCATTTGGAATTTTTCAGTGTTATTTGATTTAAATGAAATCCAGTATTATTAACATCTGTGTAATTTGCCGTAGATTATTTCTAAAAAGGAAATGTTTATAAATGAATTTGTTTTTTCTACATGTAATATTTTGAACTTTGAGTTTTATTAGGCTTACTTGTATGAGCTAATGAAAAATGAAAGTTACATATTATTTCTAGATTGAAATCCCAAAACAAGAGAGGGAAAATTTCAGTCTTAGCTAATTTTAGTATTTGGCTATAGCTAAATAAGTGGAGTTGTCCAGTTAAACATATGTTAAATATGCATTCAATATGCTTTATTGATGCTTTTTTCCTTTAGGAACATGTCTTCTGGGTGGTATCTTTAAATACACTGTTCATTCTTGTTTTTGGTAAGTTGTGTTTGTGTATTTTTAATAATATTATGGTAGGAATTTAGTTTTGTAGGAGCCTTGTTGTAGGTTTATTTTTAATTTTTTTATTTTTTAGCATAGGAATAAATACTAAGTGGTATATGAAAATAGTTTCAGATAGGAATCCTGTGTAGATAGGCCCCAGACAGACAGATACTTTCTCAAGCAGCGACTGCAGTTACCTACCTGTCTCTGCTTCTGTTGGGCTTTTGTCTTTTTTTGTAGAAGCTGGTTTTAAACTGACTTGAGAATATACAGTTTTCTACTTCTGAAATTAGTTTTGTGCTGATTGTCTGTGTGCTCTTCCCTATGGCAGAAGATCTTGTTTTCACCTGTCAAATTCCTGACCAAGGCCTTCTAGAGACCTTGACTTGGGAGCTGTTATCAGAGCTGGATGTAGACTTGTGGGAAGGCACTAAGCCTTCCCCAAATGTGAGCGCCCCGTAGAACCAGATTCTAGCACGTGCAAAATCACTTCCAAATACTTCTGTGGGGGAAGCTGTGAAGATTCTGTGACAACACACAATAGTCCCTCCCATTGGGAGTATTGGAGAAAGAAAGGTGAGGTTGAGGAAACAATGTTGATGAGGTTTCTCTCCTTTCCAGAAGAGGTAAGGAAAACTAAATTGAGTAAATCAAGGCCTTAGAGTTCAGTTTCTGTATCTTTTAGGAATGAGGAGGTAGAGTCTGATAGAATGGGGTTATTGTTAGGGGTCCTATGATTTGTGTCTGAGACCTCAGGCAACATATCTCTATATAGGGATAATCTATGAACAGTTCCTTCCTTAGTACCTGTGATTTACCCCTCAGCTGTGCTGCAGAGGATAAGTAGAGATTTCCTCAGGCTTCTTCCACCGAATTCCAAGTTATTTGCTCTGTTGGGGACTACATTGTGACCTGTAAAGCAGATGTCTTTAATAAGAAGCCATGTGGTCTAAAGGGCTTAGAATATTTGGACTGAGGATGAGACCAAAAATTGATTTCTGTATATTATCTGGAAAAGAGAAAGAGAAATTTACTTGTATTTTGCTAACAAAATATTTTGCATAACCTGCATTGATTTCTTAATTTTTAGTAGACACTCACATAGGTGCAAATTTAATAGGAAGCTCATTCTTTGTTCTCCTTGCATGTGGGGGTGTTTATTTTTCATTAGGTAAAATAATTCATATATAGACTGTGAAATCGTTTGATCTTGACTTTATTTTTATTTTTTTGAGAGAAAAAATTATCAATTTAAGTCTACTTTTGCAGAAAGGCTTAATGCTAAATTGATGTTTGGAGAAACAGGTCACATTTAAAACATGAATTATACAAGTAAGAACTCTCATTTATAGAAATTAAATCTAAGTAAAGTTTTTTCAATATAACCTTCTGAGCTTATACTGTGAAAAAATTATTTTTAGTAAACTTAGGTTTTATTACATAGTTAGGATCTTTGAAATAAGATAAGTTTTCTTCCATTAGGAACATACTTTTTCTTTTAATCTTTGGGATTAAACACCTTCATGTTTTTTTCCTGCATGGGTTGCTCTGCTGGAAGTTTTCTACAGGCAGTTTTTTGGCTCTTGTAGTCATCTGCTTTGCAGAAATGTAATCTGACCAAGCCGAGGTCTTCCTGTAGAAGGTGACGATCTTGAGAAACTGTCCTTAATTTCAGGATGCCTTTCCATAAGTTTGTGTGTAATGGGATGGAAATTGATTGTTGCAACTGGTGTTTAAGGTTAGTAATTATTTAATACATCTGCAAATAAAGTTAAAACTTGGCCCTCCCAGGGGCCTAGTTGAGTCATCTTCAGACCGGGTTATGAGAACAAAACAGGCAAAAATCAACATACAGGTTTTTTTTCTTGCCTTTGAAAATTTCTTATGCTTTATAGTACACATAGTATGTTAGTAAACTTATATATATATATATATATATATATATATATATATATATAATTCGTAAATGAATTTAAACATATTGAGGATACATGTTCAAAAAGATTCAGCCGGGTGCAGTGGCTCATGCATGTAATCCCAGCACTTTGGGAGGCCAAGGTCGGTGGATCACAAGGTCAGGAGTTCAAGACCAGCCAAGTTGGTGAAACCCCATCTCTACTAAAAATACAAAATATTAGCTGGGCATGGTGGCAGGTGCCGGTAACCCCAGCTACTTGGGAGGCTGAGTCAGAGAATTGCTTGAACCCATGAAGTAGAGGTTGTAGTGAGCCAAGATCGTACCACTGCATGTCAGCCTGGGTGACAGAGTAAGACACTGTCTCAAAAAAAAAAAAAAAAAAAAAGATTACTACCCATGGAATACTGAGAAAGGGTTAGAAGCCAGATCCCTAGTAGGTTCACTCTGATTTCTGCCTTCATGATTGAGTTCCCCACTTCCCTAGTAATCTGTTATGCTGTTGAGTTATTTCTACCACAAAGAAAAGATAACTACATTTTATTATTAAGAATGAAGTAAAATTTGGCCAGAAAGACTTGAGGAAAAAGAAGACTGTAAAAATTCTCAATAAAGATTTTAAGAAGATTTTCATACTTAAGCCATAATGCTGTTATTTCACCTTACAAAATTACTAGAATTTCTTTAATATTTCTTAATAATCCATCATATTTTAAATTTCTGGGTTGTCCCTTTAGATACTATTTTGCATTGGTTTATTTTAATGAAGATCCAAATAAGGTCCACATATTACTTTTAGTTGTTAAGTCCCAAGTTGTCAGTCTTTTAATCTAGAGTACGCTTCTCTTTGCTTCCCCCAACCCACCCTATTTGGCCATTAATTTGTTGCTAGGATTAGGTTAACTTCCTTCTGTCCATCTGCTTCCTGGATATCCTCTGCCTTTATCCTTTGTCTCCCGTATTTCTCTTAAACCTGAAGTCAGATCAAAGGGCCTTATTAGATTCAGGTTTGATTCATCTGGGACAAATTCTTCACGGGTCACACTATGCCTGTTAATAAGATATGTGAGGAGCTGAGGTACATGGTGTTGGATTGTCCACTTTTATCACTGGATTCAGGTGATATCAACCTAAGCCTCTAATCTTAGGTTTTATTTTTCCCTTTACCATTAGAAAGTAGTCTGTTGGGAGTGATATTTTTATGTCTTACGGTGTTCCATCAACCTTCCACTTAATGATTTTTTATTAGCTCTTGATGATTCTTGCCGGAATCATTTACTTCATTAGGGGTGGCAAAATGGTGATTTTTAAATTTTCTTTTTTTTTTTTTTTTTTTACATTTATTGACTGGCTTTTCTGTAAAGAAGAAGAAATTCTTATCAATTTGGGACTCTTTGGTCAACCCGAACCTGTTTGTCCAGGACAAGTAGGACAGATGCTCATTTTTTTCACCTTTAATTTTAGTTTTCAGAATAAGGAATTGGTACATTAACTTTTAGTAACTCCCATTGGTGTGCTAAGTGTTTCCAAAACATGAAAGTGTTTTCTTTGATACTGGTTTTTCTCTTTTCGTGATTATTATTATTGTGGGCTTTTCCTTTTTTGAGCATCATAAGCTCGTGGATTTGTATATGTTCAATGCTTTTCCATCAGTTTTGGTCGTTATTCTTTCTGATGCTCATATTATCCTCTCTGGCCTGTTTTCACAGTGGTTTCTGTGTTGTTTTGACATGGCCCGATTAGACCTTAATAACTTCGTTGTTCTCTAGTTACAGAGAATGTCCTAGGCAGTATATTTTTAGCCTAGTTCTGGAGTCTTTCATTTCCCCAAGAAGCCCTCATTCCTTTTAGTGGGGGATTGTGGTAGGAGTGTTCATTGTTTTGATGTTGACGTTTTTGTTGAATTTTCCCCCCCTTTTAGCATTTTGCCCTTACCATATTGGTCATTTCTCCCTTGTTGGTTTGGGATTTGAAGAACACGTGAGTATAATACTTTTACAAACTTACTTTCATTCATTACTCCCAAATTTGATTATTTATTAATCAACTAATCAAATAGTATTCTAAAGAGTTACTTCATTTCTCAAGGGGCATTATGCAAGGGAGTAGTTAGCCAATACTGTCTTCTTCTTTTTTTTTTTTTTAAATAACAGTGGCTCAAGAGATAGTGGTCATGTTGCTAACTAATGAAAATGTGCTCTGAAATCCATTCAGCTGGGTGGGCCTAAGGCATACTGTGTAAAAGTTTTCGGCCAGCTGGTTTTCCATTCATCTCATGAACTTCTATGTTCTCTTCTTTCCCTTTCCCCAGGTGCCCCCTGCTGAATTTAGAAAAGTACCAATAGATCAGTCCATTTTAAAAGGGTAGACTATTGGAACGACGAGTTATAGTGTTTTCTAGAGTGCTTTAGTTTTGACATTTTATTATTATTTTTCAGAGGTAAATAAATTTTGGAAGGATTATTACTTCTCTTGAGGCCCTAGAATAATTCAGTCTTTTAAGGAAGAGTTGACTATCTGGCATCATCTGCTCAGTTTGTACATATTAGACCAGAGATCACATTCTGAAGTGTTCTAATATTTAGTACACCTCTGATTATCACTAGTTGAATGCAAGAACTTAAAAGGTTCAGATAAGTGTTTTGAAAAATTTTGACTTTCCAAGCTATTGCCACTTGCTATCTAAAACTTGGGAACCAAAAAATACCAATAGGCATTGTTACTTTCAGAATTCTTGCTGTCTGTAATTTGAGAATGAAACAGATTCGCAGAGCAAGGGAAACTTGAACAGTTATTTCTAGTGGTAGGAAATGAGGTGGCTAGGATATTAGCAAGCTGGCAGTATGCTCCTGCTTTCAGTGCTTAGTCTTTAGCAAATCTGCTTTAGAGTGAGAATAAAGGGCAGGCTGATGTATTACAGTGCTCTTGTTTTTGTAAAATTTAATTCACTCTACTCTTATTTTGTCTCCTTGGGTAAAGTGTTATTTTTTCTTCATTTGTTAGCCGTATGTAACAGTGAGAGAATCTGGTTTTCAGAGATGTCATCCAAAGGGGATTTTACAGTTGTTTTCTAGTTACTAATTGTCTAGACAGTTCACTTTTATTCATTTGGATTGTTTAATATGGGAAAACTGGGGTGTAAAACATGTGGTAAAATTAAATTTTATTTACTTTTTTCTTATTTACAGGTCCAAGCATCTCATTTTGAAGGCCTAATCACCACCATAGTTGGGTATATACTTCTAGCAATAACACTGATAATTTGTCATGTATCCTTTAATGAACCAACTTGGGTGTTCAGTAATCTCATTCATACCAAAGAACTCTTCATTAATGGTGAAACTTGTCTCTCTGCTTGTTCTCTTAGTGAAAGTTGTAGGTATTTGCAGTAAGGGTCAGTGTAGACAAAATGTGTAATAAATTAATTCTGTCAAAAAATACTAAGTAGTTGCCTGTTTCATTGTACCTTTACTGAATTTTTCCTTAACTAGATGCTGTAGGGCTTGGCAACTCTTGTGAAATTTCATAGGTCTCGTCGCTTACTAGGAGTCTGCTATATTGTTGTTAAGGTAATTCCTGTTATAACTTAAGATTGGAAATGATTTCTCCTACACTTGGGTGATACTGATGACCTTTATTTTCACTTAAGGTCTCTTTGTTAGTGGTGGTAGAAATTGGAGTCTTCCCTCTCATTTGTGGTTGGTGGCTGGATATCTGTTCCTTGGTAAGTTGAGTATTCATTACTGTATAATAGCATAATTTCAAAGCTTCAGAAAAGGAAGTCTTCAGTGTAGGTTCTTTTTAAAGGAAAGTAAATATTTGATAATTTGCTTATTCTTTTGGCAAGTGTATTAGTATAGGATCTTAATGTTAATTTTTCTAGAGTACCTGAGTTTTTTGAGGCTTTTTGCAAATTTTTGATGTCATGATATTTTGGCTGGAATCTTTCTAATAACTAGTGGAGAATTTTATTACCCAGTTTGCACTCTCAAATTTTTATAGATAATGCTAAGATATTATATACATAGAGAATAATTTGATAAGGAAACTATCTTTGTAGTAATAAATTCCACTCTAATCATTTGGTTTAACTAAGATGCTCAGTCTTGATTACTCTTTAATTGCTGTTAGAGATAATCAGTTTTTGATTTTTTCAAAAATATTTTATGTGTAGAAAAGCTGCCTTTGGTTCTGAGATAACATTTACCCTCCCATACCTTACTTCTAAAACTTAAAAATGCAGACCTGTAACCAAGAAAAGAAGGTTTTACCTTCATCAAAAATAACTCTTTAATAGAATCAACATTAATAAAGCTTTTACCAATTGGTTATCATTCTTTATATCTGAGGCAGTAGCCAATCTTGTATATAGGTCTAGGACACCATGAAATGACATAAATAAATTGCATTTCTAGAAATCATTCCTCGCATACATATTGATTATTTATTTCCTAGAAGATGGAAATGTTAACTTTGCAAATGTAGGGGGCACACATTTCTTACCTGTCCTCTCTTGGCTCAGGAAATGTTTGATGCCACTCTGAAAGATCGAGAACTGAGCTTTCAGTCTGCTCCAGGTACTACCATGTTTCTGCATTGGCTAGTGGGAATGGTGTATGTCTTCTACTTTGCCTCCTTCATTCTATTACTGAGAGAGGTAAGTCTACAGGGAAGTGCTGATGCCATACATTTATCAAAAGGACTTTTGCTTTTACTGCCAGTCATGTCTCAAAGGCTATGATGATTTCCTAACTAAATTATATTCTCTAGTATTTTATTCTGAAAGGGAATAACTTATAGGGGACTTTGACTTGATTGCTTTAAACGGTTTCAGTTGTCTTCATAATCGGCAAGTTTTAATCTTTCTGAGTCGTAAAAATGATTCAACTGAGGAAAAAAGTAAGAGTACTCATTTTATTCTACTTCATATATATTTTAGCCATCCTCTAATACAGACTCTTATAATTCTGTATGATGTGAATGTGTCTCAGACTTCAAGGAAATGTAATGCTGGAAGTAACCGAAAGGATATGGCTTTGCAGAATCGAACATTTAAAATGGTTTTGATTTAGGTACCTTAAGTATAGAATTATAGAGGATTTTTTATGATTCCAATTCACTGGCCTGATGGGTACCTTTATTTATTTAACTAATTAATTTATTTTTGATACTGAGTCTTCCTCTTTTGTCCAGGCTGGAATGCAGTGCCATGATCTCAGCTTACTGCAACCCCCGCCTTCTGAGTTCAAGTGATTCTCCTGCCTCAGCCTCCCAAGTAGCTGGAACTACAGGCACCCGCCACCATGCCCAGCTAATTTTTGTATTTTTAGTAGAGACAGGGTTTCACCATGTGGCCAGGCTGGTCTTGAACTGCTGACCTCAAATGATCCGCCCACCTCGGCCACCCAAAGTGCTGGGATTACAGGTGTGAGTCACTGCACCTGGCCTGATACCTTTATTAATCCTATTTTTGGAATCTGGTTCTTACTGATTTGAAGATGATGAAAGCAGATGAATATTTGATTAGTGTATATCTCAAGCTCAGTCATTCCCCAAATACTGAATGTTCACTGTGTGCCAGACACTATACTGTCTTCTGGGATATCAGTGAGAAACAAAGGCACAATTCCTCAATGTTGATGAAGATGTACAGGGTGTGGAGGAGAAGGTTGACAATTCTAGTGGGAATGGAACGCAAAAGCATAAAGGCTCAGTGCTGCTCCTTGTGTGCTTTGCTCTTTGCAAGATTTGAGGAAGAGGAAGAGGGTTCAGGGGCCAAAGCATTCTCCTGAATCATACAGTATGTTCAGTAAATTCTCTTAGTAACTGAAGCTTTCACTTTCTTTGAAACAAATGAGTGCTGTGACACGTACCTGTAGTCCCAGCCATTCAGGAGGCCAAGGTGGGAGGATTGCTTGGGTCCAGGAGTTCTGGGCTGTAGTGCATTATGCCGACTGGGTGTCCACACTAAGTTCGGCATCAATATGGTGCCCTCCCAGGAGCCGGGGACCACCAGGTTGCCTAAGGAGGGGTGAACCGGCCCAGGTCAGAAACGGAGCAGGTCAAAACTCCCGTGCTGATCACACCTGTGAATAGCCACTGCACTCCCACCTGGGCAACATAGCGAGACCCTGTCAATTTAAAAAAAGAAAGAAAGAAATGATTGAGAACTAAAGCAACTGCAGAAACATGTTTCTTAAAAATGTTTCTTAAATATGTGAACTCCAAATTACTTCATTAAGTGAATAAAATGTTTTATAATGTTTTTTTTCATTTTATCAATGTGATGGTCTTTGTTGATATAAAATTTGGAACTTAGGCAGAACCTTAGAAATAATGTATTGTAACTCCCTTGTTTAGAAGATGGAGAACACCAAGGAGGGGTGAAATGGAGCAGGACAAAACTCCCGTGCCGATCAGTAGTGAGATCGCAACTGTGAATAACCACTGCACTCCAGTCTGGGCAACATAGCGAGACCCTGTCTCTAAAAAAACAAAAAATGGAGAAGTTTGGGCACATTAGATGTGTTACAGACGATAGTTCAGTGAGCTTAGACCATGTAGGACTAGTACCCAGACTAGTACCCACATGGAGTAAAGGAGGACCTTTTCATTCACAGGGAGAAGGTATAGATAGTAAAATGAAGATTCGGAGGTTGTAGGGTTTTTAAAAATTAATCCCTCTGTGGAAGTGTAAGACTGAAATCAGATCTTCTATTTAGGACGTTTGTAAATTGCAGCATAACCCTTTTACTATAGTAATGGTTGTAGTCATTTATTTTTCATCTCAGAGGTCTATATTTCTTGACACATTGGGCACTGTTTTTTTTTTTTTTTTTTTTTCCAGTGAATGATGTCAAAGGACATCATCAGACATGGTATTTTTCATGAAGATTCTGGTTCAGGAATTTTTTTTCCTAGGAATACCATATACACTTTCTGGGGCCCATTTTAGATACCAGAATAATTTTAAGTGCTTATCTTTCTGTTAATGTTTTAGCTTGTATATAGAATTTGAATACATTGGTGAATATTTATAGTATTTAAAATGTATTTGCAGGTACTTCGACCTGGTGTCCTATGGTTTCTAAGGAATTTGAACGATCCAGATTTCAATCCAGTACAGGAAATGATCCATTTGCCAATATATAGGCATCTCCGAAGATTTATTTTGTCAGTGGTAAGATGTTTCCATTGTGTTTTGAATAAAAAGTGTGCTACCCTGTAGCTTTCTTTAGTGATTTTTTTTTTTTTTTTCCGTTTCTCAAGAGAGCTCCTAGGGTATATTGAATAATATATTTCTTTAAGCCTACGGTATTCAGTTGTCAAGTAGCTGTTGATTACTTTGTTAATACAAGTGAGTAAAAATATATTTACTGAAAGGACGATGCTTTCTTGTTCTATAGTAGTATAATTCAAGGTTTCCCAGCCCCCGTGTTTTGGCCGGGTACTGGTCCATGCCCTGTTAGGAAACAGCCACACAGCAGGAGGTGAGCAGCGGGCCAGCAGGTCAGATCAGCCTCTGCATTAGATTCTCACAGGACTGTGAACCCTGTTGGGAACTGCGAGTGTGAGGGATCAGGTTGTGTGCTCGTTATGAGAATCTACTGCCTGATGATCTGAAACAGAACAGTTTCATCTCGAAACCCCATGGAAAAACTGTCTTCTATGAAACCAATCCTTGGTGCCAAAAAGGTTGGGGACCACTGGTATGATTGGTTGCTAAATTACGGTTGTCTGAATTAGATTTAATTTGCATTGAAGCAATGGAGACTTCCTACTGACTTGTAAATTAAACTCTTAACAGAAGCATATCAAAGTTTCCCCACCCGGAAGAAGAAATTACTTAGTTAAATCTGAGTTTTTCTTTTTCTTTTTTCTTTTTTAGATGGAGTTTCGCTCTGTTGCTGCCCAGGCTAAAGTGCAGTGGTACGATCTTGGCTCACTGTGACCTCTGCTGCCTGGGTTCAAGCGATTCTCCTTCCTCAGCCTCCCAAGTGGCTGGGATTACAGGTGCCCGTCACCACACTCAGCTAATTTTTTTGTATTTTTAGTAGAGACAGGGTTTCACTATGTTGGCCAGGCTGGTCTCGAACTCTTGACCTTGTGATCCACCTGCCTTAGCCTCCCAAAGTGCTGGGATTACAGGTGTGCGCCACCATGCTTGGCTCTAAGTTTTTCTAAAATAAAATTCTAAAAGTAACATTGTGTTCTTTGAAAGCTTTTGTAGCCATTAACATGGGGCCATTTCTTAGCTGGTTACAAGTGATTTATTAAGTTGCAGGCATTTCTCCTTCATTTTAAGTTTCTAGCTCATTCCTTAGTTAGCATGTGGCGCTTACCCTTTGTGGCTTCCATTTTAGCATTTGTGTCCAAGATGGTAGGTCCTTAAAAGGAGAGGGGCAGCCATCTTAGGAAAACATTTTTATATGAAGCAACTCAAGGATAATGTGTAAAGTGGGAACCACTTGGTCTTTGAATAATTACAGGCCTGGACTGCATATTCCTTCAGTATGCTCAGAAGTCTGCCTGTCTCTCACAGAAGTGATTGACTCTTACAGTGGTGTCATATCCTGTTTCCTTCTGCAGATTGTCTTTGGCTCCATTGTCCTCCTGATGCTTTGGCTTCCTATACGTATAATTAAGAGTTTGCTGCCTAATTTTCTTCCATATAATGTCATGCTCTACAGGTAAGTTTTAAAAAATCAGAATACCTTTACTAATTTATGTCTGTTAGGGATTTGATATTCAGATTACAGTAAACATTTAAAACATTTCTTATGTGTACTGGAAATCATCTGACAGTTAAATTTTGCCTTATTCTACCTTTATTTTTGTTGTTTTTAAAATTAAATTTTTTTTTTTTGAGACAGAGTTTCGCTCTTGTTACCCAGGCTGGAGTACAATGGTGCAATCTCGGCTCACCGCAACCTTCGCCTCCTGGGTTCAGGCAATTCTCCTGCCTCAGCCTCCTGACTAGCTGGGATTACAGGCACATGCCACCACGCCCAGCTAATTTTTTTGTATTTTTAGTAGAGATGGGGTTTCACCATGTTGACCAGGATGGTCTCGATCTCTTGACCTCGTGATCCAACCGCCTCAGCCTCCCAAAGTGCTGGGATTACAGGTTTGAGCCACCGTGCCTGGCCCAAAATTAAATTTTTAAAAAAAATTTCTGGAACTTTTCCACTTTACATAAATTTTGCCTTATTCTATCTAGATCATATAAACATTAGTAGTTTTCTAAAGAAAGACTTTTTTTCTACACATAAAGTATGCATTTACACAGCATTGAAATGTTTTACCATACCTAATGAGAGTGTATTAGTAGCATCCTCTTTATTTTGAAACACATTATAAGGAATGAAGCCAAAGTTGCACATTTAATTATGGATTAAAAATAGGGTACAATGCGTGTGGATGGAAAATATTTTCTGCTTTAAAAACCTAAGTACAGGCAGGGTGCCGTGACTCACACCTGTAATCCCAGCACTTTGGGAGGCCAAGGTGGGCAGATCACCTGAGGTCAGGAGTATGAGACCAGCCTGACCAACATGGAGAAACCCTGTCTCTGCTAAAAATACCAAAAAAAAAATTAGCTGGACGTGGTGGCGCATGCCTGTAATTCCAACTGTTTGGGAGGCTGAAGCAGGGGAATTGCATGGACCTGGGAGGCAGATGTGGTGGTGAGCTGAGATCTCACCATTGCACTCCAGCCTGGGTTACAAGAGTGAAACTCTGTCAAAGAAAACCCCAGAAAACAAGAAAACTTAAGTCATCCGGAAACCTAATCTCTAACACTCATCCTGTATGCTCTTTCTTTAGGGATTTATATTATCTCCACAGTCATTATCCCAACTGCAGGCAAATTAGATTACTTCCTCAAGTTTGCATATTTTTGTTTTTTTATATTTGCTCTTTTATTTGTTTATATACTTGTTTGTTAGCTACACAAGTAGTATGTACTATGTTCTTTTTTTTTAATTAGTACACAGATTTATTGAGAGGTGTTGTTACACATTCAGAAGTCACACCCTTAACATATTGAAAGCAAGATCCATCAGTTTCTTCAAACTCCAAAGTAAATGTTGCTTTGCTATTTTTCTCTGCCTTCCCCTCCCCCACCATCCCCCGCTCCATATCAAATACCTAAGCCACTTTGTCTTGGAATCTGTAGTTTTTTTGCTTTTGTTATTATTATTTTTTTTTTTATTGCATTTTAGGTTTTGGGGTACATGTGAAGAACATGCAAGATTGTTGCATAGGTACACACATGGCAGTGTGATTTGCTGCCTTCCTCCCCATCACCTATATCTGGCATTTCTCCCCATGCTGTCTCTCCCCAACTTCAAGTTTACTTCTAATCAGTCTTTAAAGTATTGTCAATTCTAATTTTTTAAGATCTGTTACTAATTCAACTCGATTCACCACTTACTAACTTATTTTAGGCCTTCCTCTTGTTCTCCATTCATCCTCGACACCTCTGCCTTTAGATTTTCTAAAACTTTGATTATTTTAGCCCTCTGTTTAAAAGTTGTCAGCATTTCCTCTGTAATATATGTGATATCTACACTGTTTAGAATGAGATGCAAGGCTTGGCATAATCTCGTTGCTTTTTCAGTATCTTGTCTCAGCATTGACTGACTTGAATTCTTTTAATTGTGCTATACTACCATCGAGGCTCCCCTGATTTACTTAGCTGTTCTTTGCCTTTTTCTCTCTGTTTACAATAATGTTCCTGTCCACATTTGACTGGCAAGCATTTGATATTCTTTTTAAAATCTACATTAAGGTTTTAAATTTTATTTTATTTTTTATGAGAAAGATTCTCGCTTTGTCACTCAGGCTAGAGTGCAGTGTTGTGATCAGGCTCACCGCAGCCTCAAATCAAGTGATCCTCCCACTTCAGCATCCCGAGTAGCTGAGACTACCAGGTGCAAGCCACCACACCTGGCTCATTTTTGTATTTTTTGTGGAGAACAGGTTTGACCATGTGGCCCAGGCTGGTCTTGAACTTCTGAGTTTGAACTCTCTGCCTACTCAGCCGCCCAAAGTACTGGGATTGCAGGCATGAGCCACCGTGCCTGGCCATCGTTACTACTGTAAAATTGTCTTCAGGCCAGGCCGGGTGGCTCATGCTCATAATCCCAGCACTTTGGGAGGCTGAGGTGGGCGGATCACCTGAGGTTGGGAGTTTGAGACCAGCCTGGCCAACATGGTGAAACCCCATCTCTACTAAAAATACAAAATTGGCTGGGTGTGGTGGCGCATGCCTGATATCCCAACTACTAGGGAGGCTCAGGCAGGAGAATTGCTTGAGCTGGAGAGGCAGAAGTTGCGGTGAGCTGAGATTGTGCCGTTGCACTCCATCCTAGGCAACAAGAGCAAAACTCCGTCTCAAAAAAAAATTCTCTTCAGTGTTGCAGTATTTATCTTTTTTTATAGCATTTGTTCCATTACTTTGTAAGTATTTATTGTTTTATCCAAGATGGCAGAAATCATATCTTATTTAGGTCTTTTTCTCTTTTTTTTTTAATTAAAAATATTTTGTGTGTGGAGACGGGTTATGACTATTCAAGACCAGGCTGGTCTTGAATTCCTGGCTTCAAGCAGTCCTTCTACTTTGGTCGCCCAAAGTGCTGGGATTACAGGTGTGAGACGCTGCACCTAGCCTCTTATTTGGATCTTAATGCTTTGCATGGGAACATGATTGGTCAAAAACAAAAGGTTTATTGTACACACCGTAAAATCTCAAATTTGTATTTTACTAAATTAGAATTGGGAACTATTTATATCCTGATTGTTTAATATGGCAGAAAAAATGCCAGTAAGTAGTTTAAACTGAAGCATCAGTTTATGACTTTTAAAATTGTTACTCTTTTGTAATAAAACTATTTTTCTACACTTAGGATTTTTATGGATTTGAAGGGTCCAAGTCATAATGAGAACCAGGAAACACACACGAGTTGAGCTTTATATGTTGTTGGGGCAAACTCATTGTGGTGATCAGTTATACCTAGAAGATTAGCATAGTGTTAGTGCCATAGCAATATTTAGTTCATTCATCCATTAAACAAAATCGAGAGCCCAATATGCGGGTTACTTTTCAGAGTACTAGGTATGTAACAGTGAACAAAACAGAATCAAGAACAAATCCTACTCTAATAGAGCTTACACTTTAATGCTGGAGATAGACATGAAAATAGATGAAATATACAGTGATGCCAAGTGGTCATAAGTGCTATGAGGGAAAATTAAAGTTGGAAAAGGGGATAGAGAGTGGGCAGGATGAGGTTACAGTTTAGGAAGAGTGACTGATAAAGACCTGAGGGGGCGGCAGTTGAGGAAAGCCCTGAAGGAGGTGATGAGAGAGTGAGCCAAGTGGATCCCTGAAGGCGGAATATCCTTGCAGAAAGTAGGTGCAGTGGCGCCCAGGTCGGTTTGAGGACCAGCCGGGAGGCCAGTTTGTGTGCAATAGGAGGAGGAAGACAAAGTAATTGGCCCTGAAGCCAGAGAGGTCATGGAGAGCCACCTTGTAGAGAGCCTTCTAGGCCATTATAAGCACTTTGGCTTGTACTTGAGTGAGTTGAGGAGCTCTTGGAAAGCTTTGAGCAAAGGAGTGATCTAACTTTGGTTTAAAGAGGATCATTCTGACTGCTGTGATGAGAGGAAACTGGGTTGGAGTGGCTAGGGCAGAAGTGGTAAGCCAGCTGGGAGGATAATGCAGTGATTTTGGTGAGCGGTGAGGGTGGCAGAGATGAAGGGGAGGTAGCAGTGGAGGCCATGAGAAATTTTTAGGATATTGTTCCGGTACAGTCAAAAGGATTCTTTAGCTGTTTGGATATGAAGTATAAAAGGAAGGAGTGACCTTTTGTGTAACCTGCTACTGATAAAGCAAATGAAGAGAGAACCAAGACCTAATCATCTATTTAGCAAAATGAAGGTCATTGATGACCCTTATCAGAAGTGTTTTGGTGGTGTTTGCAGGGAAAGCCTCACTGAGTTACAGAGAGAAAGAGGTAATAAAGACAGTAAGTTTATTAGACTCTTAAGGAGTTTTGTTGTAATCCCATTAAATATTTTAATGTAATATAGTCATATGCAAAATACAATTCACTTATAAATCCTGGCTCTTTCAGTGATGCTCCGGTGAGTGAACTGTCTCTCGAGCTGCTTCTGCTTCAGGTTGTCTTACCAGCATTACTTGAACAGGGGCACACGAGGCAGTGGCTGAAGGGGCTGGTGCGAGCATGGACCATGACTGCTGGATACTTGCTGTGAGTATGGGCAGCTGACTCCTTGTACATGCATGCCATTTGTGAATACTGAATAACCTTTCTGGAAAAAGTATATTCCATGGCCCACTCAAGAAAAATTAGTTTTAATAAGAGACAATTTAGTAATATCTACAAGTGATACAATACTTCTAAATACAATTTTTTTTGCTTATCATTGTCCATCCTTTCATGGAGAATGTATGCCTATTTTTGCCCTCTTACAGAGATTTGCTGCTGGACTGGCTTTCATGGAGTAAGCTTTTTTTTTTTTTTTTTTAAAGCGCATTAAAAACAAACCAATTTACCTTTATGTAAACCAACTAACTTACCTTTATTTAGTGTTCATAACCCGGTAAGTGGGTTCTTCTCAGATTTGATTGCTCAGTCTTTCAGTGAACATGTTGCATTTATTTTTTTTTCAAGCTTTATATGCTCTATTTAAAAGTTGAATCTTAAAATATTTGGCATCTTGTAGGTATCTTAAAGATGAAGTACAGATTTGGTTATATTTGATCAAACAGATCTGTCCTTCTTTAACTGCTTTCTCTCCCAGTCTCATTTTTGTCTTAACTGATTTATAGCTTGGAGGTTTTACAGATTTATAGCTTGTAGTTACATGTTGCAGTAGTCATCTGTAGAGAAGAAATTTTTCTTTTCCTCCTGTAGATCCTTAACAATATACATTCTAAGTATGTACTTAACACCTTGTGCTTACAAGTGTACTTGTAAGTATTTTCTATGTTGTACTTTTTTCTTTCAGTTACTGATTTCTTCTTAGATACTGGCTGAAGAAAACATAAAATAGGTTGAATTTAGGGGTTATGGAGTATTCCACAAGTTAATTAACATTAAATTTAGAAAGGTTTCATTTAAAGCAGGTTTGAACATTTAGACCAAGATGTGGTAATAATATAGTGTACAGATTCTACACTGTATATTTTCTATCCTTACTAGTAAATATGAAGAAAATGAGTGTCATGTCTGCCATTTTATTTTGACTTGAAATGAGACTTGTTGCTGATGTAATTTTTGCACAGGGATCTTCATTCTTACTTATTGGGAGACCAGGAAGAAAATGAGAACAGTGCAAATCAACAAGTCAACAATAATCAACATGCTCGAAATAACAACGCTATTCCTGTGGTGGGGGAAGGCCTGCATGCAGCCCATCAAGCCATACTCCAGCAGGGAGGGCCTGTTGGCTTTCAGCCTTACCGCCGACCTTTAAATTTTCCACTCAGGGTAGGTACTATGCAGACTTAATCAGATAGAGAGATTTTTTTTTTTTTCAAATTGCTGTTGAGAATTGGTGCTGTTAGCATCCAGTCCTCTGTGTAGACATGTTCCACATTTTATTACCCTCATTATGTAATGTAAATGATCAGGTAAGTTTATTACACTTTAGAGATGCAGAGTTGGGATTCCCTGGGCTCTTCCTCCCTATTTAAATGGAAAAGACTAGAGTAAATGAGAAACTAATGTTATTTATTGATACAGTTCAACAATGTGTCAGGAACTAGAATAGGCATTTTGATGTTGTCTCATTTAATCTCTACCCAAATACTGCAAAGTATAGGCAATAATTTCATGTTTATAGCTGAGGAAACTGAAGGCAATACTGGTTAAGAAGGTACCTATTCTATGTTCTTTAACTAGCAAGTGATCAGTCTTTGTGCAACTCAGAATTTTGTCAGAAATGTAAGCTGATGACTGCTATATGATTACAATAAAGGCATCCTTCATTTATATCAAGTCTGTTATTTTTAAATGCCCTTTAATAATGAGATAGGCTTGTGAGTCGGATCATTTTAAAAACTTGGGCAGGTTATTTAACCTCTCACCCTCAGATTTATTTTTGTAAAAATAGTTATTTTACCTCTGTAGATTACTGTGGGTGACATATGTCCATTCAATCATTCAGCAAACATGTCTTGAGTGTCTGTGATTGATATTTTCAGTGTTCATGAGGATATAGAGAACATACGTGATCTTTGCTCATAAAGAGCTTACAGTCTACTCAGAGAAATGAGAAAAGCAGTGACGGATTTGGGTTCTAATGGTGGGTGTTTACAATGGGTGCTGTGACTCCTTCAATCAAGAAGACTTGTTCTTTTTTTTTTTTTTTTTTGAGATAGAGTTTCGCTCTTGTTATCCAGGCTGGAGTGCAATGGCGCGATCTTGGCTCACCATAACCTCCGCCTCCTGGGTTCAGGCGATTCTTCTGCCTCAGCCTCCTGACTAGCTGGGATTACAGGCACGCGCCATCATGCCCAGCTAATTTTTTGTATTTTTAGTAGAGACGGGGTTTCACCATGTTGACCAGGATGGTCTCAATCTCTTGACCTCGGGATCCACCCGCCTCAGCCTTCCAAAGTGCTGGGATTAGAGGCGTGAGCCACTGCGCCTGGCCAAGAACCACTCGTTCTTAATATGAGCCCAAAAGAATCTTCCTGTAATAGGTGATGCCTGAACTGTCTTAAACATTGAGATGCTGGGCAGAGAGTAAGAAAAAAGGAAGTGGGAAGGGGATCCCAGGAATATATCAGGACTAGGGCACATGACATGGTAGACTTGGAATTGCAGATAAGGGAGTTGTGTTGTTTTGCTTTGTTTTTGAGACAGGGTCTTGCTTTGTTTTCCAGGCTGGGGTGCAGTGTTGCGATCACAGTTCACTGTATCCTTAACTTCCTTGGTTCAAGCAATTCTCCTACCCTGAATTGTCCAATTAGCTGGGACCACAGGTGCATGCCACTACACCTGGCCAATTTTTATATTTTTTGTTGAAACGGGGTTTTGCTATGTAGCCCAGGCTGTTCTCAAATTCTTATTTCAAGCAATCCACCTGCCTCGGCCTCCTAAAGTGCTGGATTACAGGTGTAAGCCACTGCACGTGGCCTAACTGAATATATTTAGAGGGTGAGGTCTATGTCCAGGAGTGGTGAGGAACAAGGAGAAATGAGGGGCCATGGGAGCAGTGAGGGATAAGGTCTGGAAGAGGTGAGGGACAAGAGGAGTGGTAGGAGATAAGGCTTTTGGATGGGCAGGAACCCGATAATCGAGTGCCTTGAGCACCATCTCTGCAAGTGTCTGTACCCACTGAATTGCTCTTCTGGTCCTTTGTCCCCTGGAAGGGCGTATCTCTGTTCCTACTTCAGTGGCTTATTCTAGAGGACTTTGCTGCATAACCCTGAGGAAAGCATGAAGGTCATCTTTTCCTTTATCTCTTAATCTTAATAGCAGACCTCATAGTCAGCTCCTTTTTTCCCCCCTGGTCCTTACTCAGCTCTTTCACCTCTCTGGAGACAGAAAGGCCTTCTGAGCAAGAGTTACTTTCTGGCCAGATTAGAGACAGAATCAATAAATGACTTTTCAGGCAGTTAGAAATGATGGAGGCTCAGAGTCTCCTGGATTTTACTATCTGTCCTTTTCAGGCTTCCCACCAGAGCCCTGCCTTCTGGTCTTGTGGAGATGAATCTGGTAAGGTAGCAGGCAAGCCACAGTTGTTGCCCTTCTGCTCAGAGAAACTGGTTTCCTCCTCTCTGTGTGATCCCTTTTTATCTGTACTTCCGTATTAGTCTGTTCTCACACTGCTAATAAATACCTGAGACTGGGTAATTTATAAAGGAATGAGGTTTAATTGACTCATAGCATCCACATGGCTGGGGAGGTCTCACAGTCATGGCTGAAGGTGAATGATGAGCAAAGTCACATCTTACATGGCAGCAGGCAACAGAGCTTGGGCAGGGGGACTCCCATGTATAAAAACCATCAGATCTGGTGAGACTGATTCATTACCATGAGAGCAGTATGTGGGAAACTGCCCCATGATTCAGTTATCTTCACTTGGCCCTCCCCTTGACATGTGGGGATTATTACAGTTTAAGTTGAGATATGGGTGGGGACACAGCCACACCATACCAACTTCTTAGTACAGGAGCACGAGCTTACCTGGCTATTTACATTTCAATTTAATTAAAATTAAATAAAATTAAAAATTCCATTACTCACACTAATCACATATCAAATGCTCAGTAGCCACATGTGGCCTAGTGGCTACTACACTGAGCAGTGCAGATCTAGACATTTCTGTCATCAGAGAACATTCTAATTGGATAGTGCTGTTGTTTGATTAAAAGGTGAATGTTTTTAATTTATAATGTTTTATTTTTATGCTCTATGATTAAAACATATTATTTGACTTTTACTTGTGGGATGTATCTGATTATGTGACAATGGATACTTATTTTCATTCTGGCTTAAATCATAGGTAATTTTACTGAAAATAAAAAATTTATGTGGAATTGCAGGAAACCTGGCAACACAGATACAAGTGATTTCTTTTTAATGGGAAGATTATGTTGATTCTTTGATAAAATACATTGAGCACATGGTCACTATTTATGCACTGTTTATGTTTTACCTTGCAGATATTTCTGTTGATTGTCTTCATGTGTATAACATTACTGATTGCCAGCCTCATCTGCCTTACTTTACCAGGTATGAGCTTGTCCTGGCCTTCAGCTAATAGCATCATTAAGATTTTTTATGTAGTTATTTGACAGAGTCTTGCTCTGTTCCCCAGTCTGGAAGGCAGTGGTATGATCATAGCTTACTGCAGCCTTGAACTATTGTGTTCAAGCAATCCTCCCGCCTCAGTTAGGTCTGTAGCTCCTTTTAGGAATACAAAAATTATAGTGCCATATTAGGAAGGCAATCAGTAGGAAAAATTACACTGGAAATGTGGGTCCTGCTGTTCTCTCTAGCCTATTGAGAAGTAATCAATGTAAAGTAAGTTACTAAATTATATAAATGATCGTACTCAAGTGATTGTTGTGGGGCACTGTAGAGTTTATTCCTAACAACTTTTTGTATGAGGCACTCTCTTAGACTGCTCTCAGATCCATTTTTCACATTCCAGTGTATTCAGATACTCTTTTTTTTTTTAAAGAAAATTAATATAGTATTGTTTGATTATTGTGCTTTAGAATGTTACTGTGCCCACTCCTTATCAAAGTAAGTGTAGTTTTCTGTCTTGATGAATGAGCCAATTGGAAGGAAGTTACTCTAAATTATTTGCATTGTTCCTAAATATTAAAAGTGTTGGCATCACAAAAGGAAGAAATTTCCCCTCTTTTGTCATATTATTTTCATAAAAGTTTCATTTGGTGATAAAAACAACAAAAACATCTATTCTCCCAGAAGCTTTTTTAGACTTAAAAGAACAAGTAATTGGCATGACAAATCAGAGTGCATTTCCCAGGAGTATTCGAATGCCTCCATTTAACTTACTTGTTTTGGTTGATTTCATCAAATGATCGTCTACTCTTCAGATGTTGTAGTTTTTGTCATTTTTTTGTTGTTGTTGTTGAAAACATTGATATATTGAATGTGGTATCTTTTTCCTAATGTGAAAATACTAATAGAACAACATGAAGATTACAATTCTCTTTACCTAGCCACATTCTCATTTATCAGCTTTTCTATTTTCAGTATTTGCTGGCCGTTGGTTAATGTCATTTTGGACGGGGACTGCCAAAATCCATGAGCTCTACACAGCTGCTTGTGGTCTCTATGTTTGCTGGCTAACCATAAGGGCTGTGACGGTGCTGGTGGCATGGATGCCTCAGGGACGCAGAGTGATCTTCCAGAAGGTTAAAGAGTGGTCTCTCATGGTACGTTTTTATAATAAAAGACTAATCTTGTCTGTTAAGAATGGTGAATATTTTTTCCAGTCATCATCTTAAATTTTTTTTTACACATTTATTTCCTTATTATATTGTTTCAATAGTTGATTTTTTTAATTAGAAGGAATATTCTTTTAAGATAGTGGCTTTCTGGTTCATTCTTGTTCAAAGTCCTACATTCAGATGTATTTGAGGTTTAAAAGCAAAACAGGCCAGACACAGTGGTGTATCCCTGTAATCCCAGCACTTTGGGAGGCGGAGGTAGGAAGATTGCTTGAGCCCAGGAGTTTGAGACGAGCCTGGGCAACAAAGCAAAACCTCATCTGTATTTTTTAAAGTGTATATATATATTAAATTTTTACTGGATCACTTAGTAGTACGTTTTTTTTTAATACATGAGCATGCGTGTGCGTGCACACACACATGCACACACACTCTCTCTCTCAGTACAGTAAGTTCTACTGGACCATGTTGTTCTTTGAGGGAGCCAGTTTGATCAGTTTTATTACGTTAGGATTGTGCAGAGCCCTCCCCGGGTACCAGTCCACTTCAAGGTTCACAGATCAGCCTGTGTATGGGTGGGCCACTGTTAGAGCAGGGGCCTTGGCTAGTTGGTGGCTTTTCTTGGTCAAACAGAAACCTAGTCCTGAGAATTGGATTATGAGAAAGAACAGCCCAGCCACCTGTGTGCTTTTTGTGTAAGAGACTTGAGCACCTGCAGATTTTATTATCTGCAAAGGTCCTAAAACCAGTCCCCATGGATACTGAGGGATGACCGTAGTTGCTCTGTTAGGCATCAGGTCTTAAACCTCAAAATGGAAATAGAGTTTGGCTCAGTCAGAAAGACCCTCTTTAATGTCATGGTCTCCTGTTTCCTAATAGATCATGAAGACTTTGATAGTTGCGGTGCTGTTGGCTGGAGTTGTCCCTCTCCTTTTGGGGCTCCTGTTTGAGCTGGTCATCGTTGCTCCCCTGAGGGTTCCTTTGGATCAGACTCCACTTTTTTATCCATGGCAGGTAAATGTATATCTTTTGCTCATGTTATTTTATTAAGGATTTGGGATCAGAAAATAATCTTAGCCATATATATGGCTCATGCCTGTAATCCTAGCACTTTGGGAGGCCGAGGTGGGAGGATTGTTTGCACCCAGGAGTTCGAGACCAGCCTGGGCAACATGGCAAGATCTAGTCTCTACAAAAAAATTGGCTCATGCCTCTGGTCCCAGCTACTTGGGAGGCTGAGGTGGGAGAATCGCTTGAGTCTGGGAGGTTGAGGCTGAAGTCAACCATGTTCATGCCACTGTACTGTAGCCTGGGTAACAGAGTGAGAGCCTGTCTCAGAAAAAGAAGATGAAAAAAGAAAAAAATGTATTCTTAATTATTTTAGGTGATTTTAAGCGGCTGGTTTAGAAAGACTATTTATTTATTTATTTTTAATTTTAGGAACCTTACAAAATTGTTTAAGTAATGCTAATTGATCTTTTGTTTCAGAAATATGCAGGTCTTATAACTCCTTTAAAAGAGCTTACTTTATGGATTAAATTGTTACTGACTATTCACTTAAGCTTTTCTAATATTTGAAAATGCAAACTAATAGGTATTGATTGTTTTTCACCTTTGAGGTAGTATGAGTCTTCTCCTTTTGACTTGGAGGCTTTAATACTTTTGAATTATTATAGCGTGTTTTCTCACAAAGTCACAGATTCATTAAAAAGAGTATTCTGGCTGAGTGTGGTGACTCACACCTATAATCCCAGCACTTTGGGAGGCCAAGGCAGGTGGATCACGTGAACTCAGGAGTTCAAGGCTAGCCTGGACAACAAGGTGAAATCCTGTCTCTATCAAAAATACAAAAACCTAGCCAACTGTGGTGGTATGGGCCTGTGGTTCTAGCTACTCAAGAGGCTGAGGTGGGAGGATCACTTATGCCTGGGAGGCCAAGGTTGCAGTGAGCTGAGATCATGCTACTGCACTCCAGCCTGGGCGACAGAGTGAGAACCTGTCTTAGGACAAACAAACAAAAACCTAAGAGCCTCCCAAGGGAAACCAGGTGAGTCACAGCAAAGGTCTTAAAGCTCATGGAAAAAGAAATTGAACTTTTCTATTCTATTTGGAGCCTAAGGTTTTTAATATTATAGAATTAAGATCTCAAGTTCTTAGTAGGTATTGGGGGGAAAGAGCTAGGCATTGACTTGAGTCATTCAAAGGCTTTTTAGCTTTGTTTTTCTCTCTTAGTGTATTGCAATGGATTTTTCAGAAAATGAAAATCATTTGAGCCATATTTCCTTTTCTCTGCTTTCCAGATGGAGAATGCCACAAATTTTATTTTACCAGAAAATTTTATTTAAGTACTTTTAATGTGTACCCACACCCTATAATTGTATCACCTAGATGAATATGAGGCTAGTGCAGAATTTCCTGAGGAATTTACACTCTGATGGGAAAGCTAGACAGGTACACAGGTGTTGTGTGGTGTGATTAGGGGAAGCACAAGGAACCATGGCATTGTGTAGGAGAGGTATTTAACCTGGCTTTGGGAGTTTCAGGTATGGTTTTCTGTAAGAGATAATATCTAAGCCAACCTAACTAGTGGAGTACAGAGAAATGGGTAGGAAATGAAGATGTATATTCCACAAGGGCGCCGATAGGCAGACCTGGAGTGAGACATGGCATGCATATGTGGGGAATTGCCTCCTGTGTAGGCTGTCTGGCTCAAAGACTACAATAGGTGAGAAGTGAGTAACACGAAGTACAGACCTGACTTCTGTTTTGATTTGTGACTTTTTAACTTTTTGATGGTTAAAAGAGATACACATTCAGTAGAAACTGTACTTTGAGTACTCATACAGCTATTCTGTTTTTTACTTTCGGTACAGTATTCAGTAAATTGCAGGAGATATTCACTACATAATTATAAAATAGATTTTGTTAGGCCTCAGTTACACAACAAGGCAAAAAATAAAATAGGTTTTGTGTTAGAAGCTTTTGCCCAAATGTAGGCTAATGTAAGTGTTCCGAGCAGATTTAAGATAGGCTGGACTAAGCTATGATGTTCTGTAGGTTAGATGTAATAAATGCATTTTTGACTTAACAGTGTTTTCAATTTAAGATGGGTTTATTAGGGCCTAACATTATTGCAGGTTAAGGAGGATCTAATTAAGCATATGTTACGCCTTTCTGTAAGAGCCATATTCCAGGGTAGTTAAATGGTATCAGTAATTGAAGGAAAGAGCTATCTTGTTTTTACAGAAAAATGCCAGCAAATAAAGGTAGAGAGATTAACACAAGTGGAAAAATACTATTTTGTAATACCTAACAAAATAATTGATTCTAACAAGGATCGTTAATGGAAGTGGCCCCAACAGATGAAAGATTGATTGATCTTCAGTTGCTATTGCTGTGTAACAAATTATCCCACAACTTTGTGGCTTAAAACAATCATTTTAATTTTGACCATAGTCTGTGAGTCAGATAGTAAGACTGCATATTGGTTTGTCTCTGTTCTGTTATATCTGGGGCCTCAGCTGGGAAGATTCAATGGCTGGGAATGATTTGACAGTTATGGCTGGAATCATTTGGAGGTATCATTACTCAACAGTGTGAGAGTTGACGCTTGTTGTTGGTTGCTACTTATCTGGGGCTGTTGATTGGAGCTCCTCCTTCATAGCTTAGTAACCTCAAGGTACTTGGACTTATTACATTGTAGTTCAGGGGAATAAGTGACCCCACAAGGAAGAAGCTGCATCATCTTTTATGACCCCATGTCAGAAGCCCTATAGCATGACTGTTCACTACATTTTACTGAGTATAAGCAAGTAACAAATGTTGGCTAAGATTCAAGGGAAGAGGCCATAGACCCCCTACCACGTGAGGGGAAAAGAATCTGCAGGTATGTTACGATATCATTGCAGTGTAGAAGTGGTTGTTTGCATGGTGGCAAAGTGTCACCTTATGGATTACTTGATGGGCTCAAAGGGAAACACACGACTAGCAGAGGGGTCAGGCTGACAATACCCTAACCCAGTCAGTGATCAAGCATAGTGTTGCAGCAAATGAGACAAGCAGATACTATCTGCCTTTTAATGTTATGCAATATGCAGCCCTGAAAAAGGCAAAGCAACCACGACATCATACCCCGTCACTCTGATCATGATAGAGGAAGACAAAAGCAAGGCCCTCTGCAGTCGTGTCTGAACACAGACAGAACATGAGCATTATTCAAACCACAAAAATGACCAAACATTCGCCTTTACTGGCTAACATGATTGGCTACTGCTTCATTACCAGTTACAGTTTTAGCTTCTGTCCCATTTTCTAGATAAGATTTATTTATTAACATAACCATTCACAGATTGCTTTGCTTTCTAATAGCATCTGATACAGAGCAAATTCCTGCTTCTTTAAATCCTCCCTCAGATTCCTAACACAAGCTGAAATCCTATAATAAGCCCTTTCTAGCACACTCCTACTGAGGGGCCCCAAGTTCTCCATGCATATTACTCCTCTGTTGCAATGAGAAATAAATGCAACTTGTTCTAGTTGTACTTGTATTTTTGGTGGTCTTTATAGTTCTCAGCATTGCCTGTGAAATCATCATCACCTTAGAGAATTCTTCGGTAATATCAAAGTTTAAAAATGCTTATATTTTATGACTCAGCAGTTGACTTTTCAGAATCTGCTGCATGTATGCAGGAGGCATGAGCAAGGCTGTTTCTGCAAATACACCTTTTTTTAATAAATGGCAAAAAATGAGAAGTGATCCAGATGTCCACCAATAGAGAATGGCCAAATAAAATGTGGACTATCAATGCAGCAGTTGAAAAAATGAAGTAGTTATTTGTTTTGATATTGATAACTCCTACGCATGTTTCTGAGTGGGAGGAAGACACAAGCTATAGACAGATATGTGCAGTGTACTGTCCTTAAATGTTTTGCATTTAGCCCCCAAGTTTTTAAAGGAACAGCTTGTTTTTTCTCCATTCATGACTTTAAGCTACTTGCCTTTCCTGCAGCAAGTGGCTGCAGCTCTGTGAGGTAGTGGGCTCACTTGGAATTCTAGCAGAGGAGCTAGTATGGGGTGTCTTGTCTGGCAAGAAAGGACTGCAAAGCAGTGGGGTTTTAGAGAGCATGAATCACAGTGATTGTGGACCTCCTTGGGTAAACAATTTCATCTGGGTGTCTGCTGGACTCCCAAAAGGCTGAGGGAAAGCTGAGTTGGTGGGTTGCATCTTCTCTGCCTATGAGCCTGGAAGGGTGCAGAAAAAGCAGGGAAGCTTTCTTCATATTCCTCAGTAGGAGACTGTTTGAACGGTTATTCTAAAGGTCTGAAAAGGTGAGGTAAAAGATCCTTTTGAAGCCCTTTAGGATATTCTCAGCCAGGCCCAAGCCTCTTTGAGGCTGCAGAAGAAATTATAACAAGTTCTTTATATGCAGGAGACTCAGCAGCTACAGAAAGGAAGTTAAGGCTGAGCAGTCAGAACAGAAGCCAGTTTGACAGAGAACTGCTTGCAGAGCCATGAGCTTCCACAGAGAAGAGCAAACACACAGGACACCGAGTGCACTATGTTCGCACACACACATGAACAGCAGCTCTAAAGCAGAATGCAGTTGTGGAGCTGTATGACATGCATTTCAGACAAATCTAGTAGTGAAGAAAGATGTCGACAGTCATCACTGGCCTCGGTTTGGAGGCCTTGAAGATTATTAATGCAAAGCACTGAGCAAAATGGAAGAGGAAATTGAAGAGAAAGAGAAGGATTTTGGAGGAAATATCTAGGAGACAGCATACTGATAATGGAGGTTCCAGAAGGAGCAAATGTGAGGCAGCATTGAAACAAAACTAGGAGAAAATTTAACTGAATTGAAGAAAGATCTGATTCCATAGGTTGAAAGAACTCACCAGATTTGGTAAGATTGAATTCAAGAGAAAAACACTTACTCGGATATACAGTCTTCAAAAAAAACCACACTGTCATTGGTCTTTTTTTCTATAGCACTGAAAATCATAAGATATTAGAGAATTTGTAGACAGCTGAGATAAAAGGGACAAAAATCAAGCTTCCTCTACCGAGACAAAAAATCATTTAGCTGTTCACTTATCAACATCAAGATTGATATTTGAGGGTATTCAAGAATTCAGTGTGTGTGTCAACCTCTCACCCCATTTGAAGAAGATCCTTAGAAGACTAACCCATCAAACCAGTAAAGAAATGGGAACATTGGCCTCAAGATGGTAGACAGTGAAGAGGAGAATTAACAGTCTGAGCAAAGTCTGTATAAAAATGATACTAAATATTCTTTATGGGATATAGATGACTATATCCCAGATATATATATGACAGACAAATGCATGGGGAAAATCATGGTTGGTATGTACCCAAAACTAATAGTAGTTATTACTGGGGAGGGATCAGGACTTAAGATAGGTCCCAAAGGATTCCAGTCTTCTCTGTGAAGATGTTGGTTTTATGTAAGAATAAGTCTAAATGTCACATGCGGTTTCTTTCTTTCTTTCTTTCTTTTAAATAAGCTAGATAGAGACCCGGTTATGAAGGGTTCTGTGTGCCTCACTAAGGACCTAAGGGTTGTTAAGCAAGAAAGTTTACATTCATGATCTTATTTGCATTTAAAGAGATACTTGGTGGTTGGCAGTGGGTGTGATGGGGAGGGAGGAGGTAGTCCTCACTCTGACTGCCCCGTGGACAGTTGGAAAGTGGGCAGGCCAAGAGTCCATTCCACCATGAGGAGGAACCTAGTAACAGTTCCCCAGTAGAACCACAAATGCTTCAAGCTAGATGCTGTCTGTAAACCTTGAGAATGGCCAAACTTTGTTCCACAGTCTTAATTTGACATCGGTCAGCTCAGTTGAAACCAATGAAATCGCCTAAAGATAGTTTGAAATAAAATCTTGGCATTCACTTTATTTGCTTTTTGAGATCTCCATTAATGTCCAGACTTTTTTCTAACTCTTGGGAAAACTGTATAGATTTTTAAAAGGTAGAAGAATGATGTTTGATGGAAACATTGAATTTCAGCTGTTGGAGAAAAAATATTCTCTGGGTTTTCAGTAAATGTTAGTCTTTTGTAAAATTGTTTTCAATCCTGTAGAACTTCTATTTTGGTGTGAAATAATGTAAGAAAATTATACAGCCTATCTGCTGGATTTATTGTTAAAAAACAATAGAAATCTGTTAAATGGTTTTTTTACTCTAGGACTGGGCACTTGGAGTCCTGCATGCCAAAATCATTGCAGCTATAACGTTGATGGGTCCTCAGTGGTGGTTGAAAACTGTAATTGAACAGGTAAGCAAAATCAAAAGAGTTTTTAGGAAAGACATTCTGGAATTTTGTGTTTATGTTTGGCCGATATACCTCTTATTTCTTCCTACTTTGCTGAATTTTCTACTTTTTGTTTAATGGGCATATATAACTTTTTAAAGATGGCAGTTTTGTTTTACCACTGTAGGGGAGGAAAATAATTTTTTCCTCAACCCTTGTTTTTTTTAGTTAAAATGGAACCTTGTAATAAAACTCTTAACAACAGAAAAACAAAAGTTTATTAATGTACATATGTCATATGTGAAATCATCACCTTAGAGAATTCTTTGGTACCAACAAAGTTTAAAAACGCTTATATATTATGACTCAGCAGTTTGACCTGAGAATCTACTGCATGTATGCAGGAGGCATGAGCAAGGCCTTGTTTCTGCAAATACATCATTTTTTATAATGGCAAAAAATGAGAAGTGATCCAGGTGTCCACCAGTAGAGAATGGCCAAATAAAATGTGGACTGTTGATGCAGCAGTTGAAAAAAATGAAGTAGAGTTATTTGTTTTGATAGCAATAGCTCCCAGGCATTTTTCTGAGTTGGGGGGAAAGTACAAACTGTAGACAGATATGTGCCGTGTGCTTTTTTTACTGTTTTGCATTAAACTCCCAAGTTTTTGAAGAAATGGCTTGCTTTTTCTCCATTCATGACCTTACGTTACTTGCCTTTCCTGTATATACATGGGAATATATATTACATATATACATGGAGATACGGAGATACCCAGGGAGTGAGTAGTTTCAAAGAGGGTGGCTTTGAAGTTCAGCTAATCTTCAACAAAGAACAATAAGTTTTTAGAGAAGTGACAAGATAAAGGAAAAGGACTTTGAGTCTCTAGGGGTGGCAAATGCTTCTAACAGTCTCATTGCTTCTCAAATGGCAGATGCCGCTCCTTAGTCAATTGTGGCAGTGTAGATTCCTCTAGTGCCATCTAGAGGCCCAGAAAGGTCTGAAACTCTCTTCAATGGGTAGTTGTCCTCACTGGTAGAGGGAGGTGGGATGGGTTCCTTTTGTCTTTGTACATTTATATCCTGCTTCTAGGCAATAGAAGGTGAACAGAAAGTTTTCCTGCATCTACTCTTTATTAGTTGCCTTCAGCTCAAAACAATCCCTATGCCAAAGAAGCATATTTTTAGGGTGACATATTGTGGTCTTCTATACTCCCATGAATTTTCATCAACCACATGTAAGTCATCCTTTATCTGAAGGTTAACCAGTAGCTTACAGTATCTAGAACTCTGTCCATAGTGGAGACAAAATGATGATATGTGCTTTTTTCTGGTGAAGCTTGATATTGATGTTCCTAAGCCTATAGTACATTGTGGGTGAGGGGAAGGTTATTGCTCGAGGTAATAAAAGAAAAGGCAGAGGGAAAAATAGATTACAAAAGGAGAGCTGTTTTGGATTGATCTAGCTACATAGTTACCTAAGACCATTAATGTGTTACAGAACTGCCAGATAATTTGTTGTGGCAATACCTTGGAAAAGGTCGATTGTGCTTTAGCGCTCCGATAATAAGACTAGGAAGTATGGTAATTCATTCAAGGAAAATTTCTATCCCAAACAGCCAACATAACAGATTTTGGTACTTCTTTACACTTTAGTTATCTAGCAGATGGGGACCCCTTTTATTCTTAGCCCAGTGCCGCATAAATAAGACATTACAGTTCTCCAGCAGTGAAGTTCACCTTTTTTTGATGTATGAAAAGTAAAGACAATAGTTCTTAGTCAAGCGTGCTCAAGAAAATTCATTCAAAAAGTGCCTGTACCTCAAGATTTTGATTCTTAGGGGTGGGAGGTGGGGGAGCCAGAGAATTGCTGTGTGTTTGTGTGTGTCTCTAGAGTATGGGCTAATTCTGAATTCCACTGGGAGTGTGATGGATTGGGGGCTTCTGGCTGCATATCCCTTCAGGATCAGAATGCAGGCCAGTCCACTCTAGAGTCACCAGGTTAAACTCTGCCCTTGTAAAAGGAGTGTGGAGATGAGGTTTATTCATACTAGAGGCTGTGGAATATTATTGATCTTCTAAATATTTTGTTCTCTTATTCATTATTTTCTCTTGCATGTGTATGTATCTATAAATTTAAGAAAAATGGTTGGGAATGGTTTAGGAACACTGGGATGCCTTGCTTTATTGATTAAAATGCATTTGGGTTAGCTAGGTGTCTTTGGGAATGGAAACATGCCTTTAAAAGGTTAAACAGCATTCTTCTGCCTCATTTCTGTCTGCATGCCATCTAAATTTCTGTTCCCAAGGTTTTCCCATTTCCGTCCATTCTTTCCTCTGCAGTACTCTTGTAGTGTTTTCTGGATAAGATGATGGAAACATTCAAATAATTCTTGGACATTCTTTTTTTATATTCACTATAGAATTCTTTCATACTAAATTTTTAAATAAAATACCTTTTGATTTGTTAATATTTGATTTATGCAAGCTTTTCAGAAACATTTCCTGCTTCAGTGTTTTCTTGTCATACTCAGAAAAAATGAATGCAATATTGTATAATACAATATTACATATTACATATCTTTTACATAAGATATATGAAGTTACTTCAAGTTATGTGGTCTTCAGTGACTACCACTGAATGTCATCTGGTATTGCATAGTGCAAGTAGGGATAAATTATTCTAGATTAGTATCTTATTTCATCATTTAGCAGAGCTAACTGCAAAGTGTTAGTGGTTAAATACATTTCTTTAGAAACTCATGGACACCATGCTTATATTGGTATACCAGAATTTGCCTTGACTTTAGAAAAAGTAAACAGTTTGACTCTTTTTGGGTTGGCATATTTAGTTGTATGGATTCATTAGAGATTGCTCTAATAACTTGGAGGAATTTGTCTTGTATCTTTGTTCTAACTGTTTTTTGTAATGTTTCAGGTTTACGCAAATGGCATCCGGAACATTGACCTTCACTATATTGTTCGTAAACTGGCAGCTCCAGTGATTTCTGTACTGTTGCTTTCCCTGTGTGTACCTTATGTCATAGCTTCTGGTGTTGTTCCTTTACTAGGTATGTAATGCTGGTTGTGGAACCTTGAATGAGCACTTTTATTAACATTGAACATCCTTTTCACTCCCAGTGAAAAGGATGTCTCACTTCATATGCTTTATATGTAAACATGAATCCAGCTAAAACAGTGATTTCAGAATACCACTTTTCTTAGTTTTGACTGCTCTGGGTAAGATTAGAGGATCATAAAGCTCTTTGGTACAGTTCTTTTCTCTAGCAGGTGATAAAATTTGAAATGTACATGCTGTACAAAATAGGCAGGATCAGATTTCCTTCAAGTTGTTGTCTCCTGACTAGAAGTGCTGTGATCATATACTTGTAAAATTAAGAAACAATGTCATTATATTTAATTCAAAAAAAAATTCTTGGGCATAAAAGGAGACTCAAAGAGGAGATGCTAATGTGCAACATGTTTATACTTGGAAATATACTGTCTTATTTATTGTGTACTGAAAAATCCTCATTGCTCCTTAAACCCAGCATATTTTCAAAATTATAAGCAGAGACTTTTCTTCCCAAATCTTTTTCTTCTCCAGAATTCCAACTCTCAGTCACGAAGGTTATCATCCAACAAATGGTTTAAGTCAGAAACCTTGAAGACTATCTATGTCACCTTATTCTGTCCTCCATGTCCACGTGGTCTCCAAGTGTCTCATTCTTCCCTGAGGAATCTGGTCTCTTTTCTCTGGTGCTTTGCTCCTGACTTGTTGAGTCATTCATCTCCTACCTTAACTATGACACTTTCCTATCTGGTTTCCCAGCTTTGAACCTGCTACCACTAATTACTTCTCCACACTGGACACAATGACCTTTCAAAAGAGTGTATCTCATTGTACCTCTTTGGAGAACATTTTTTCATTGGTCCATCTGTGGCCTTTAGTACAGTCCAACCTTTTGGCATAGTTTACAAGGCTTCTCGTTTGCGTTGATGTGGGCTTCAGTTTGACCTTACTTTTTTTCTCACTCTATGTCATATACTCTGAGTTTGATTAAACAGCCGTGGAATGGCCTCTTATCAAACACACCATGTCCTCTTCTCCCATGCCTATATCCACACTTTGATTTGTCTTACCCATCTGCAAGAAATGCCCCCCCCCTTTAACCATGAGAAAAGAGCTTAAAAAAAAAAACAACCAAACTTTTTTGCAGTGTAACATGTATAATTTTATATTACCTTACTAGGTCAAGAAATAGAACTTTTCCAGCCCCTTGGAAGCCCTTTTTGTGTTTGCCCTTCTTTACCTTTGGCCACTGGTTTGGCTTCTAACAGCCTCATTGCTTCTCAGCCAGTAAAGATATTAGCCATGTCCAGTAGCTTGTGCTATAATCCCAGCTACTTGGGAGGCTGAGGTGGGAGGTTGCTTGAGGCCAAGAATTCAAGACCAGCCTGAGCAACATGGTAAGACCCAGTCTCTAAAAAAAAAAAATTAAATGTATTAGCTGGGGGTGATGGCACATGCCTGTAATCTTAGCTGCTCTGGAGGCTTAGGCAGGAGGATCACTTGAACCCAGGAGTTCAGGGCTACAGATTGTGCCACTCCAGTCTAGCCTAGGCAACAGAGCAAGACACCCTGTCTCTTAAAAAAAAATTGCTAAACGGAGATTTGTATAGACAGAAGCTAAGCAATGTATTCCTCAGTCTGCAGGGTGGCATGGGAAACAGGGAACAGTTAATCGGAGGACCCACAGTGTGCAAACTGCATCGTTTTCTGGTTCCTTCTAAGTAGAAACTTCAAGGCTTTTATTTGGCTTGAATTGTGACTATGTCCAGTATCATAAATACCATATTAAAATATACATGCAAAATATATTTCAGAGCCCATTGCTTATTATTTTTGTTTTGTTTTGTTTTGAGATGGAATCTTGCTCTGTAGCCCAGGCTGGAGTACAGTGGTGCAGTCTCGGCTCTCCGCAACCTCCACCTCCCGGGTTCACACGATTCCTCTGCCTCAGCCATTTGAGTAGCTGGAACTACAGGTGTGCACCACCATGCCCAGCTAATTTTTGTATTTTTGGTAGAGACGGGGTTTCACCATATTGGCCAGGCTGGCCTTGAACTTCTCAACTCAGGTGATCCATCTATCTTGGCCTCCCAAAGTGCTGGGATTACAGGCATGAGCCACCGAGCCCAGCCCATTGCTTATTAGTTGAATACGCTATTAAAATTAAATCATTTTGACTATTTACTGGTTTTGTCTAGAATAGGAATGCCCTATTTTTTTATTCTCATTAGCATATATTATGTTCTGCCCATTAATAGTACATAGACTTAAGAATTTGGATTTCAAAACCAGTCCTTCATATTTTCATTTTAAATTTTGTTGTGTTGATTTGCAGTAGCAAAAAAAAAAAAAAGTGAAAAAAAATTTATTGTGAGCCTTTCTGGAAAGTCTTTGGAAGGGAAAAAGAGTGGCAAATGAAAAATGTTAGTACTTGTTTTGTCCTGATTAGATGCTTTATGTAATTCTTCCATGTTATTCTTAGGGTAGCTTTTGAATATGTTTTATCAACTCTATTTTAGAAATGGGAAATTGAGGTTTTTAGAGATTGATAGTCTTACCCCAAAGTCTAGTTTTTAAGGGGTAAGAACAGCATTCAAATTAAAGCTCAGCTCCAGAGCTTATGCACAGCACACTGTTGTGGTGTTTGGAATAATCCACCTGAGGGTATTAATTTTCTGATTTTTTTTTTTTTTTTGGAAAGACTTGCTCTGATTTTAAAGCCCCCAATTCCCTCTGCCAAGGAAGTATTAAAACTCATGAGTTAAATACAGAAAAACAAATACATGTGTGTTCCAAAAGTTTAAGGATATTTTTTATTATATAAGCACAGTTTTGGTTTTGTCTCTTTAAACCATGATGCAGTTGAAATGTATAAATGACACCACTGCTTATGGAACCTGATAAGTAATCTCATCCAGTTCCTTTTTAGTTTGCTTTTTTTGAGGCAGGGTCTCACTTTTTTGCCCAGGTTAGAATGCAGTGGCCTGATCTCAGCTCCCTGCAACCTCCACCTTCCAGGTTCAAGCGATTCTCCTACCTCAGCCTCCCGAGTAGCTGGCACTATAGGCAAACGTCACCACATCTGGGTAATTTTTATATTTTTTGGTAGAGACAGGGTTTTACCATCTTGGCCAGGTTGGTCTAGAACTCCTGACCTCAAGTGATCCACCCGCCTTGGCCTCCGAAAGTGCTGAGATTAGAGTCATGAGCCACCATGCCTGGCTTCCTTGTTTTACAGCTGAGAAAGATGAGTGTCAGAAAGGGCTCATGACCCACACAGATTGTAGAAAGTCAACAGACCTGAGGCTTAGAAAGCTTGTCTACCCCAGTCCATTCTTCCTTGGGGAAGGACGTATTTATGTTTCATGTCACTGTTCCTTCACATACACTTAAAGTTTTTCTTTTTTGGTTTTCTAGGTGTTACTGCAGAAATGCAAAACTTAGTCCATCGGCGGATTTATCCATTTTTACTGATGGTTGTGGTATTGATGGCAATCTTGTCCTTCCAAGTCCGCCAGTTTAAGCGCCTTTATGAACATATTAAAAATGACAAGTAAGTCTGGTGTTCTATTCATCTCTTGTGTTTTCAGTTCTTAATTTATGTGTCTGATGTGACAAATCGTAGGAGGGAAATGTGCTCAGATTCTGGATATACTTGGAGGTGGGATTAGCAAGATTTCCTGACAGATTGGGTGTTAAGATGTAAAGGAGAGTGGAATCAAGGACTTAATTGGTCCAAACAACAAGGAATATGGAGTTGTCATTTATGGAGCTAGCAAAGACTGGGAGAAACTATTCTGGAGAGGGAGGTTTTTTTGGGTTTTTTTGTTTGTTTTGTTTTGCTTTTCGAGATGCAGTCTTACTCCGTCACCAGGCTGGAGTGGCACAATCTCAGCTCACTGCAACCTCTGCCTCCCGGGTTCAAGTGATTCTCCTGCCTCAGCCTCCCAAGTAGCTGGTATTATAGGTGTGCATCACCACACCCAGCTAATTTTTGCATTTTTAGTAGAGACAGGGTTTCACCATGTTGGCCAGGATGGTCTTAATCTCCTGACCTCATGATCTGCCCACCTCAGCCTCCCAGAGTGTTGGGATTACAGTTGTGAGCCACCACACCCAGCCGGGAGATTTTTAAATGCCTATTCCAAATAGTTTTTTAGTTTTCAAATGTTTGGTCTGACAGTATATTAAATAGTTTTAGATAAAAATAAGCCTACATTACAAACCAGCAGTGCCTGCGTAAGGCTCTCTTGCTTATGCAGGGCCTCTGAGGTTGCACAGAGAGGCTTGAGGGTTGCCATAAGAATGTTGTGGGACTCTGTCTTGAGGAAACCATTGAAAACTCTGTCACTTGATCTCTGTGAAAGTTGGAGGAAAGTGAAGGAAAATACCTTCCTGGGGTAATATTTGACCTTTCATGTCCTAACTGTCAGCTGAATGATCTGCTTCAATGGGATCTAGCAGAAAAAGTGAGTCTATTGTTATCCATCTCAGTTGGCCAAGAGAGTTCCAGTTTACACCTGCTGCCTCTGTGTCATTATGAACGGTACCCCCTTTTACTTGTGCTTGTTCCCCTTTGCACAACAAATTAGAGTTACCTTATTTACTCTGAGGAGTAATATTTTTGAGAATGAATTTATAGTGTTCCAGACTTCTCCAAAGCATTTACTGACAGTAAAAAATACATGTATACTTCGGCAGTCAGAGTACCAAGGACTGTCAACTGAAAGAAGAGGAAGGGTCTTTCCAATGATGAAAATCAACTTTTAGCTCTTACCTTTTTGGCAGAGAAGTAAGTTACTTCGAACAGAATGACAAGCAAGACATGCCCTCAGGGAAGTTTCTTCCTGTTTCTTCCTTTACTCTGGGCGCCTGCCTTTCTGTACCATCCTTTTCGGCCTTTGCCAGGGGTCTGTTCCCACTAACCTCTTATTTCTCATACTTTATCTTCTGCTTTTTCCTATAGCCCAGTGAACTCTTTCCTCTTTTCCCATATATTCCTTCATGTAGAAAAGTGTAGAACTGTAGACTTTGGTGAGAGCATGTCTTGTCTGCTGTTGTATATGTACTTTTTTGTTTGTTTTTGTTTTTTTAGAAAGCTAAGCCTTGAAGCATTTTGTTTGTTTTGTTTTGTTTTTTAGAAAGCTAAGGTATTTGTACTCTTTAGCATAGTGTTTGGTCTATATGCTGAGAGAGAGAGCGCATGCGTGTGTGTGTGTGTGTGTGTGTGTGTGTGTGTGTGTGTGTATGTGTGTGTGTGGTGGTGGAAGAGAGGGAGTTGGGTTCAGAGTCTTCTTTCTCTGCCATCGAGTTACTTTTTGGACTTGTACAATTTAGTTAACTTTGTTTCTGTATGCTTTTTATTTACTTATTTTGTCATTGCCACAATGCTGACCATATTCTCTGTGTGTTTTGATATTTGGTCATTACTGTGTACCAGGTAGTGCTGTGTATATTTTATTAGATATTGCTCAGCCTTCACTGTTTTAAACATTTACAAAATCCTCAAAGTTTAAAAAAAAAAAACTGGTTGGTTGAACAGTGGAGTAAGGAATGGCTAACTTTAGGAAAAGAAGGTAAGACAAGAAAAGGAATAAAACAGTGACATTGGCCAGGCACGGTGGCTCACGCCTGTAATCCCAGCACTTTGGGAGTCCGAGGCGGGTAGATCACGAGGTCAAGAGATCGAGACCATCCTGGTCAGCATGGTGAAACCCCATCTCTACTAAAAATACAAAAATTAGCTGGGCATGGTGGTGCGTGCCTGTAATCCCAGCTACCCAGGAGGCTGAGGCAGGAGAATTGCCTGAACCCAGAAGGCGGAGGTTGTGGTGAGCTGAGATCTGGCCATTGCACTCCAGCCTGGGTAACAAGAGCGAAACTCCGTTTCAAAAAAAAAAAAACAGTGACATTGTAGATAAAGAAGTAGTAAGATTTCCATACTTTTTAGAAAGTGACATATTAAGGTACTGTACATAAATTGCCAAAATATTCCATAGGCTTGTGTACATTTTCAAAAAAGTGATAGATGAAAGTCAGAGTGGAGAAGGTAATGGTGAAAAGTAAGAATTCCACAGTGAGCCCTTAAAACATGCTAAGCCTTTGTTGCCGGGTTTCATACACTTCCTCTTTCTTAAAACAGCGCTGCAACATGGGACTATTGTTCTCGTTTCACTGATGATTAAATGGAGGAAGGGGATGGAGGAAAGCTCCCTGGCAGCCCGGGATGTGCAGGCTTCACTTTCCCTCAGTCTCCTTAACAACTCTCGGGGCTTTTTCTGGGACATTCTCCTTGATCTATATCCCTGCCTCCAGATGAGTGCCCTTAATACTTGTGCCCAGCCACCTACAGTTTGTTACCATCCAGCTTTGTCGCTGCTGTTCTCTGGGGGTCAGCCTGTAAGCCATCTGCTCACATTAAGTGAGGCAGCCCCTCAGTGAGTCTGCTATGCAGCTGTCACCCTTCCCTGGCATTGGAGATGTCTGTCTCCTTGAGCAGGATCTCCAGCCCTGTTGCTCCAGCCACAGTAACAACTGTCTTGTTTCTGCAGCCCTGCAGGCTTTGCCATTGCCTTCTCCTTTCGTTACATACGTAACACTTGGCGTTCTGTTGTTGAACCGTGTTCTCCTACCTCCTATCACTCACACTCAGTGCCATGCCATCTTCCTTTGACGTCACTGAAATCTGTCCTTTGATTTCTCCTTCCTTTTTTGTAACGAGCTTCTGGTTTTACTTTTTGTCTCTTCCTTTTTTTTTCCCCCCTTGAGATGGAGTCATACTCTGTCACCCAGGCTGGAGTGCAGTGGCGCAATCTCAGCTCACTGCAACCTTCACCTCCTGGGTTTAAGCAATTTTCCTGTCTCAGCCTCCCTAGTAGCTGGGACTACAGGCACACGCCAACATGCCTGGCTAATTTTTTGTGTTTTTAGTAGAGATGAGGTTTCACCACGTTGGCCAGGCTGCTCTCAAACTCCTGATCTCAGGTGATCTGCCCGCCTCAACCTCCCAAAGTGCTGGGATTACAGGTGTGAGCCACCTTGCCCAGCCCTTTCCTAGCTCTCTGATGGTCTTGTTTTTAGTCCATCTCCTTAGATCTGCCTACTAAGTTGTTTTATAAAATCTGAACCTTAACAGATAAATCCACTGCTGCATAAGTTTACTGTATTCCTCCTGGTCTCCAAGTGTCTGAGTTAATAAGAACCCCCTAAACCAGTGACTGAATCATGTCCTCCATTGCACAGCATTGGAGGACTTCCGGCCTTTGCTGCTCCTGCAGCTTCCTGCAAACCCATACCCAGCTAGACGTGCTGGCCTTTACACAGGTGTTCACTCCTGACTCCCTTTGACTCACCCAACCATTGATGGGTTTTAAGTAGGAGTTAGATTAAAAAGGACATAAGAATGTTTTACTCTGTAAGTTCATAGAGGAGAGTAACCACCTTGTTTTTGCAACCTAGATACCTTGTAGGGCAACGACTTGTGAACTACGAACGGAAATCTGGCAAACAAGGCTCATCTCCACCACCTCCACAGTCATCCCAAGAATAAAGTGGTTGTCTCAGCAACTTGACCTTCTCCTTTTCGTGTCCTTTTTTGTGGACTTCTCTCCTTGGAGATTTTTCCCAGTGATCTCTCAGCGTTGTTTTTAAGTTAAATATATTTGACTTTTGTTCTCAGCATTCAGAGAGCAGTGGTGTAAGGCTCTGCTGCTCTTCCCTGCATTTCTGACATTACTGCTGTCTGAGATTTGTATATGTGTAAATAGAAGTTCCTTGATACCTTAAAACCTTGGATTAAACAGAATGTGCATTGTACATCTTTAAACAAAATGTATATTAATTTATTAAATCTAGTTGTCACTTTATTTTGGACCTGCTGTGATCTTGACAGGAAACGTGCCACAGAGCAGTAGTGCACAGGCGAGACTTTTCAGTGACGTCTTGTGGAGCACAGTTCATGATGCTCCTAGCAGCTCTCATTAAGGGAACTGTACATTCATTCTTTCTTGGCTATTCAGACCTTACCAAGAACGTAAAAGGAAGCAAGTAGAAATCAGTAGTGGAGTGTCTGTGGTAAGAAAACATGAACTTTATGCTTCACTGTTAGTTGTTTGTCGAGATTATTTTGTATAACACCAAAGCTGTTGTACATTTTCTACTGCCTGATTTTTTCATGTGTCTGTGTTTGTTAAACTGTATGGTATCTTGTGCTAGGTGAGGAAATTATTTTTAATTTTGATAATTTAATATTCCTGATGTGATCAGCATCGGGAGTTGGGTTTCAGTGCTTGTTAGGGGCATGTCTATACTTAGAAAAAAGTCCAAATAAAGATTTTCGTTAGCTCCCCAACCCTCCTCCCCCACCACCATCCTCCCTTTTCCACACACAACTATCTCTTTTTTGTAGCAGTGGCCAAAAGTCATGCAAGGACATACATCTTTCAGAATGACATCACCAACTGTACTGCATCTTACTGGATTTAGGACTTCTGAGATGCTTGTGAAGTATAGATGTGGTCGTGGTCTTAGATTAACAGCATTGGAGAAGACTGGTTAGAACATTTGGTCTTGCCTCATTGGGTGAGTGAGGATTAGGTGTGCATTTCTCCGAGCTTTTCATCAGGAATTCCCAAAGTTTCCAAAGCTTTTTGTTTACAGAATAAAACTTCAAATAAAACCAATTCATTATTTGTCCAGAAGGAGGAAGCTTGGCCGAGGTGGCCTTTTAACATAGGAATTAATTTCATTGGAAACTTTCTGAAAAATCTCAGAGAACTGAACCTTACAGACTTTTCCCCTCATAACCAAAGCTTTGAGTTAGAAGTTTAGAAAAATAGAATGGTTGGGTACATGATCTAAGTGTTTAATGCTTGAGGTACATTGTAAGTTTAGTATTTGTTTTTGAATGATAATTTAGAAGATCTCATAGGAAGTATATAGCATAGGTCTTCAGAAACTGTAAAAGAATTATCATATATTATTAAACCCCATGGACTAAAATCTGAGAATTTTAACATATGCAAGTCAGCCAAACATAAGTTACCAAAATCAAGAGCAATGTGTTCTGGTGGTTTTATATGTCAGCAATTTTTCCCCTAAGTGGTAAGTAATTACATTAAAATATATTTTTAAAAACACCAGTATCAGAAATAATGCTTGACATAGGATTCAGTGTTAACACTCTTAGGCACTTTGGAGTAGCCCTTTCTCTCATTTGAAGGTAAGGTCTTTGTTGCCCTACCTTTACTCAGAAATTTAGGCCTATAAAAATGTAAGAGGATTTTAAAATGTAATGCTGCCTGTCACAGTGTATTTATAATGTAAATTATTTTATTTGAGAGAAAAATATTGAATTAGGCATATAACTTGATTTTATATAATTTTTTTTTTTTTTTTTGGATACGGAGCCTCACTCTGTTGCTCAGGCTGAATTGCAGTGGCATGATTCTGGCTCACCGCAACCTTTGCCTCCCAGATTCAAGCAGTTCTCCTGCCTCAGCCTTCTGAGTAGCTGGCACTGCAGGTGCACGCCACCATGCCTGGCTAATTTTAGTATTTTTAGTAGAGATGGGGTTTCACCATGTTGGCCAGGCTGGTCTTGAACTCCTGACTGCAAATAATCCATCTGCCTGTCTTGGCCTCCCAAAGTGCTGGGATTACAGCAGGTGTGAGCCACCATGCCTGGCCAACTTGATAAATTTTTTTTTTTTTTTTTTTTAGTTTTCAAAGAATTTGTGGATCTTGGTATAAAGTCATTGGAACATACCTTGTTTTAACAGAAAGAGATCCTGGGCAGGTACTTCAAAAGGTTAAAAATTCTTAATCCTACATAATTTTAAATGAATCTTGATGTTTTGTAAAAAAACAATATGGCCAAAAAATTGCCCTCCATTTCACTGGCAGGTAATTTATATTGTCTTACTTAAGAATTCTCCACTAGTTTTTCAGTTGTACTTTATATCCTATTGTTTTCAATGAGATATAAGTATTTTCATAGGGAAAGCATTTTCTGGCATAGTATTTGCTTGGGCAGCATCCAGGTTTTATTATTCATATTAATCAAGAGTCTTTTAAATATTTAAAACCCATAGTTCAGAAAATGCTAGTATTGCTGCCTTCTTCACATTTTTTAAAAAAAATCATAGTATAATTTTGCTTCATTTTATATTGGGTTAAAACAACCTTCAAGAAAGTTAACTAGGAATGACCATTTTGTTTTATTTTTATTATTTATAAATTGAGGACAAATCAGCATTTGGGGTTAGTTGTACTGGTTATCAAATGGTCATAGTATATGAAGTGTGCAATTGTTCATTATTACTAAATTATGTTTGATTTTTAAACTATTTAATACTAATAGTTGAGATGAAAACTGAAGAAAAATGCCAATGTGGAGTTAGTGTATAGCTAGTCTTAAAAAATAACCTCCATGTATTTAGGTGATTTTTCCCCCGTTAGTTCTCTGCAGAAACAGTGAAGATGGGCCATCTCAATTCCAGATGTAAACTTTTAAAAATAATTTTATTTCAACATTTAATGTAACTGTTATTCTTGTGGATTCTTGTGTATTTTCTTTCCCTTACTCAAGTAATAACTTTCCTTCAAATGATATGATCCAAGATACATCATTTCTGTATTGGCAAAATGCCACTATTAAAGTGTAATTCTTGAATTTAGGTTGAATTGATGACTTTTTAAAACAAAACAAACACTGGACATTTCTACATTGTATTGCGTTTGCGAATGTGCGTGAACACGCACACATGCAGGAAAATTTAGTGCCACAGAACACTGGCACTTTTTAAAACTTGGCAAATTAACTACTTTTCATTTTCAGGGTTGAGTATTCTAAGCTCTCTACTTAATGTGAGAAGTTTTCTACATTGTAAAATTAAAAGATTATGTTTAAAATACTCCTTTAGGTTGTTAATTATTCAGCCATCAAGAAAAAAACAACTAAAATGTCTTACCACTGAAGTATTATTAAAAGCCTCATTTGTGGAGATTCACTAACTTTCTTGGTTAAGCTGTCTTATATTTACTTAATTTGTCCCCGTCAATCAAATGTTTTCTTTTCAGCCTGTTACCGCTCTGTGTCATTTTAAAAAATAGCCATCATGAGTAAGGACTTCTTTAAAATAATTCCTGCCAATATCTTTGGCATTAATACAGCGTAAAGATAAGACACTCTGTATGTTTTCATTCCTGTTTTGTACAAGTGCCTCCAAGTGTCATAGTACCTTAAAAAAATGTAATAAAATTTGGTTGTAGAAGCTAGATAGAACATTTAGTTGATCTTCTATTAAACACCTTAGGTACCCAGACCAATTTTATGTACATACATTCTGATGGTCATACGTTGCCTTCTAAGTTAAGAGAACAAAATTGAATAAACTGGATGTTAGTTGTAGTCCAGTTTTTTTTTGTGTTTTTGCCTTGTTGCAAAATTGCTTTAAGATTGCAGACCTATGCATTGTTAGCCCACATAGATAATCCAGATGTTTTTAATAGGAAAGAAAAATAACTCCAGTTAAATGTGACTGGCTCCTCCCCTTTATGTATGAGTTTAAATGTATCCCTTCCGTCCAGTCTCCCCAACTTGGATTGTAGACTTCCCTCACTGGGAAGAGGAAAGCCCTACATTTTGTGCGATGGCAAGAAACTGCCCACTTTTGCATGTCTGCTCTGAGATCAGAAAGAGTTTCGCTACGGTTGTCTTTTAGCTGAATACTTAAGAGTAAAACCAATCAAAACCATTTTACATACTTCACCATATGTCCCAGAGGAAAAGGAAGGTTTGCATGATGTTTTTTTCCTTCTGAGTGCCCTGAGGAGATCCTTTTGCTTCATAGACTGTGATTTTTCTTGGTTTCTAGGTTCAAGATTTTTTCCATGATTGTTTTCCCCCAACCAAATGCATTTTAATTTACTTTGAATGCAGGGGTGATAGAGGAAATGCTATTTGAATCATACATATCCTTACTCTGTGAAGTTTGAGATTTTTGAGCAAAGGAAATTGCATGGTTAAGTTCAGAAAGTGGCCATCAATTTCCCCCCTTCCACTCCACAGTTCATAGCTACTCTTGTTGCAAACATACAGTGATAAGGAGAACTGGGCTGAGAAGGTAACATTCCCCTCTTCCCCAGTGCTTTTATTTTGGTGTCCGTTTTATATCTAACACTGTACTTAGTACTATAGTTGAATGAAGTACGATGTCTGCCTTCAAGGAGCTCAAAGTGGAACAGAAGCATAAGCAAAAGATTGTATTACAGAGGTATGAATAAAATGCCATGGGGAACACAAAGAAAGATTCACCCAGGAGTGATGGCCTAGCCACTTCCGTAGTCACTGTTCTGTGTATGTAGCCCCCCGCCATTACTCTTTCAGCCTTCTGCTATCTTTCTGCTTACTCACACACTTCTCCAAAACCACCTATATGTAAACGCTACATGGAGGCCCTTTTTTGCCTAATTTTACGTTAATTATCGTTCTGAAACTTCTGTACATTTGTAACGGTGCTGGAATTTTTCTGCTTCTCAGTGTTTGTTCAGTAACTCATCTTTAGGACACACTTAAGAGAAGCTTCATACCCTGTACCCCTATTTATTCACTCATGTTTTTGGGATCAGCCCCTTCTGCTGGCTGTGCGTTGGTCTGATGGAACAGAATAGAGTCCAGACATAGCCCAGCATGTATGTGGACAACTGATTTTTGACAGAGATACAAAGGTCTTGAAAAGCTGGTGCTGGAATAATTGGGTAATCAGATGCAAAATTAAAAATTAATTGATCCATATCTTAACACATGCAAAGATTAAAGTTGAAATGGATTATAGTTCTAAATATAAAACCCAAAAATATAATTTCTAGAAGACAACAAGGAAAACATGTTTAGCCTTGGGTTAGGCAAAGATTTCTTCGACCCAACACCAAAAGCACAATCCAAGAAGGAAAAATTGGTAACTTGTGCTTTATCAAAATTGAAAACTTCTCTTTGACAGATACCATTAAGAGAACAAAAAGACAAGCTGTAGTATGGCAGAATATATTTGCAAAATATTTCTGATAAGTGACTTGCATCTAGATTACATCAAGAAGTCTCAATTACTGTTTCTCCTGAGCTTGCTGCCTCTGCCTCTGCTCCCTTTTTTTCCATTCATTTTCAACATTGAATCCAGAATGTTCTTGCGATCCAAGTCAGATCACACCAATCCTCAGAACTCTCCAATAGAATAAATACCATCACACTCAAAGTCCACAATAGCCTTCAAAGCCGGGCAAAACATGGAGCACCCCTTTCCTTCCTTCTGTGACCCATCACCTTTGTGTTCACCTTGCCTCCGCCGTCCTCCCTGCTTCCAAAAGAGGTCAGGCCTTAGGGCCTTTACACTTGCTATTTGCCATACCCAAATGTTCATTCAGGCTCTTCAGCCTCCTCATTTCTTTCCTGAAGTGTCATTCTTACTGAGGCTTATCGAAAGCTGCAGCTACTGGGGAATTCCTGTCTGATCTCCCTGTTGTATTTTGTACTTCCTGCTCTCTCTTGTACTTTTAAAACATATGGTTTACCTTTGTTTATATTTGCATATTTTACCCACTTGAATGTAAGCTCCAAAGATTTTATTTTTTTTAACTATTACTGTGTTTCCAGAACACTTCCCTAGCAAATATTTGGGACTCAATAGTACTGCTAAGTTAGTAAATAAATTATGAATTTAGAATCAAAATAATGAGGCCTAAATAAAACCTGAAAGCCCTAATTTCCCATAGGTAACTGCTGTTATAGTTTAGTTATGTGCTTTCAGACATACATTCACAGAATCATTTATCACCATAAGGTGTCATACTACACAGATTGTTCGACAAGATGCTTTTTGTCACTTTATATATCATCATGCGTGTCTTTTTTCATACCATTGTGTGGCCAGGCCATGATTTGTTTTACAGAAGACAATTATCCCATTTAATTATATGGTATAGTAAAGGTTTTTGTACATAGTACTTTTTATAGTATTTATGTAGGATGAGTTCCCAGAAGTAATACTGCACAATCATAAAAAAATTTTACAGTGTCAAATTGCCCCCTAAAGGTACTAATTAACATCCTCAACAGTGTGTAAGATTCCTTTTTTTTTTTTTTTTTGAGACAGAGCCTTGCTCTGTCGCCCAGGCTGGAGTGCAGTGGCGCGGTCTCTGCTCACTGCAACCTCCGCCTTCCGGGCTCAAGCTATTTTCCTGCCTCAGCCTCTCAAGCAGCTGGGATTATAGGCAGGCGCCACCTTGCCCAGCTAATTTTTGTAGAGACGGGGGTTTCATGTTGGCCAGGCTGTTCTAGAACTTTTTGACCTCAGGCGATCCGCTCCCCTTGGCCTCCCAAAGTGCTGGGATTCACAGGCTGAGCCACCGCGCCTGGCCCAGATTACTTGTTGACAGGTATTTTCAGTTTTAATTTAGAAATGTTTATATGTGTATTTCAGTGTTAATTTAGAAATGTTTATATGTGTATTTTGGACCCAACGGAAACGATCAAAATCGGGCAACTTCCCCAGTTTCCTTGAAGAGAGAGAGGGCTTGCCATTGACCCCTCATGGAAGTAGCTCACTGTAGTTTTCTCCATCTTCCTGTTTGGAGGTGAGCAGGAGGAGGTGGGTCTGGGGGTCTCAGCCACACGGTGGCTGTTAACGGCAACTGCAGCAGCCAGTCAGGTCACTCCCTAAAGCGAACTTACGGTGCCTTGGTCAGCACCCACCAAATTCGAGATTTCTCCTATCCTTCCACTCGAAGCTCTTTTGACAGGAGATGTGACTTATTTTCTCTTAGAGCCGGTCACATTGGCTCAACCACCCTATCTTAAGAAATACAATATTGTTTTACCTGGAACTGCACACTGTTCTAAGTGGCTTTTTAATTTAAGAACTGAGATTCACTAAGGGACAGCTTAGGCAAGGGAACAGCACGTGCGAAGTTCGAGGCCCGAGACGTTGGGAGAAGTGGCCTCGAGCCCAGGCGGGTCCCGCGCCCCCCGGGCGATCAGCCCTGTCACTTCACCCGCTTCCCTCCTAGCAGGCCCGAGTACCCTCGCCTCAGCCTCACGTAGCCTGAGCACGGGAAAGAAGGAGTCCTTTGTGAGTTCGCCGCTCACATTCGGCGGTGGGAAACAGATCCGAAGACCCTTTCCTAGGTTAGACGCTCAGCTCTCGCGGCTCTGAACCACTGGTGAGCGGCGAGTGCTCCCAGCCGGACCCCGCCAGGACCTCCCTATCCAGCCCCGGGACAGCTCCGCCTCGTTCAGGGCCGCGTGCGCGTGCGCGATGCCGGGGGCGGGGCCTGCGCGCGTCCCGGTTGCCTGGATACCGAGCGCGTCCCTGGCGGCTGCCGGAGCTAGCGAGCTGCAGGGCCTGGGGTGTAGCTGAAGAGGCAGTTGGCCCTCATTTGTCAAGAAACCCGCGGAGGAGCCGGTAAGAGCCCCCGAGAAGCCGGCCCCAACCTCAGGAGGGGGAGGGCGGGCGGCCCGGGCCACGAGCCCCGCGCTGCTAGCTGCTCCACCGCGCCCGAGCCGACGACCGCCCTCTCTCCCCCCAGCGCGCCGCGATTCCCCAGCCTGGTCCGGTCTGCGGAGAGCGATGCCGCTTCTGGACACCATGTTCTGCGCTCAGCAGATCCACATTCCCCCGGAGCTGCCGGACATCCTGAAGCAGTTCACCAAGGCTGCCATCCGCACCCAGCCGGCCGACTTGCTGCAGTGGTCCGCGGGGTAAGCGCCCTCGGCCCGGGGAGCGGTCCGGTCTGCGAGTCCAAGACAGAGCCAGAGAGCCCTTCTCCCGGACCAGGGGCCCGACGCGGCGCTTAGCGTCCTTAGAGTATCAGGCAAAATTTTCCGCTTAGCATTGGTGACATCTATACCTGAGTATCTAGGAACCATTTCGATATATTGACCATGAAACCCGAAATTACTGTAAAATGCTCACTTACCAACAAAGTAATGTCAACTCAATTGTTAAAAAGTGGTGTTTATGAAGATAGCCTAAAACTTAAAGCAATTGCATTGGGCAAGAAGTGTGTATATTATGTTAATATTACACGGTTGCGGTCACTTTATTTGAGAAATGATTTTACAAAGAGGACTCTTTTAGCTAAGTTCCTCATCTGCAGAGAATCTTCTCAAGAGCTATGCATACCCAGAGCTGGTTAAATTTGTTAGAACTGGAACGGCCGAGGTCGTACTGCGGTCGTCATCCAAGGAGTGCTCAGGGTAAATTATCCAGCAAATGAACCTTCACAGTTTCTTTTGCCATAAACATTCCAACTTTTTCCGGGAATACACATTCATAATCTCAGAGTTACAAGTAAACAGATCTTAGAGGCATTAAAATAAATCTTGGTTTTACAGGAGCGCTCTTCGCCTCTTTTCAATGAACAGATGTAAAACAAAAACTTTTATGATGACAAGAGTCAGCATATGTGTAAGTTTAAATATTTTAGTTATCAACACGTCAAATTTTGGCTGGGCTTGGTGGCTCACGCCTGTAATCCCAGCACTTTGGGAGGCCAAGCTGGGAGGATTGCTTGAGCCCAAGAGTTTAAGATCAGGGCAACATAGCAAGACCCCATCTCTATTTTTTTTTTAGTAAGAAAAATAATTTAAAAAGAAAAGTCAAATTTTGCTGACTTTCTCTAAACTCTGTAACCAAGGTGAATTAATTTCCTTCAGCTGTAACAAATCACCACAAAACTTGACAGCTGAAAACACAGACATACATTCTTGCAGTTCTGGAGGCCAAAAGTCCAAAATCAGTTCCACTAGGCTAAAATCAAGGTGTTGGCATGAGACACTGATCACCACCTATGGAGGTCTGTCCTGCAGATCCTGACCCAGTGACCAGGTTAATGAATGCACTCACACACACAGAATACAGTGTCAAGTGGGCTAGGGATGGTCATTGGCTGCTCTCAGAGGGAGATTGCAGCCAACCGACCACCACTCCCTGTTTCTCCTTGCATTTATTCAGTATAGATTTAATAACAGAGCTTCTAAGTCAACATGCTTGTAGATTATTAACATGGTTAAAAGAGAGGTTTTATGAATGATAAAAGGTCTTGATTCTGGGCACAGAATAAACACCATTAACAGGTAATCCCCCTTCAACCTCCCCCAGAGGACCATCCAGCACAGAGTTTACAAGAATAAACAGAGTAGAGACAAAGGAATGTGGGGTACATGGACTTAATTATCCTAATCTTTTTACTCTATCACTTAATACTCTAATGTATAAACTGGCTGCCTTCAGCCCTTCGTCATTAAAACCTTTCAGCCTTCCAAAGGGTTTGAGACTATAATCTCAAACTTCCCTAATATTTTGCCAGCCACCCCATGTGAATGCCAACATTGGCAGGGCTTTGCTCTTTGCTGGGCTCTCAGGAGAACCCAGCTTGTTTCCTTGCCTTTTCCAGCTTCTAAAGCTGTATTCTTTAGACTCCTTGGCTTATGTCCCCTTCCTCCATTTTCAAGGCTAGCATCTTCACATCTCCCTCTGCCTCCCTCTTACAAGAACACTGGTGATTGCATTCAGTGCCCATCCAGATAGTCCAGGGCAATTTTCCCACCCAAGATCCTTAATCAGTCTACAGAATCTCTGTTACCACGTAAAGTAACATCTCCAGGTTCCAGGGACAAAGGACCTGGATACCTTTGGGGCTATTATTTTACCCACCAGCTGAGCTGCTTCTCCGTCCAGTGCTTGCCTTCTGAGAAACCCTTTTATCAATTGTTTCTGAAAGACTCTTTCAAGGTTCTTGCTAAAGAAATACAACCTCTGGTTTTAACTCTTATTCAAGCTTAAATAAAAGGATTTATGAGTTTGTGTCTTCAAAAAAATTCCAAGATTTATCAACTTTTTCTTGGAACATTAAATTGTATTTAGTAATAGCTTAGAGACAATTGTTTTAAGCTTCACTTCGTTTTTTTTGTTTGTTTATTTATTTATTTTGAGATGGAGTGTCACTCATTGCCCAGACTGGAGTGCAATATCGAGGTCACAGCTCACTGCAACTTCCACCTTCTGGGTTCAAGCCATTCTCCTGCCTCAGCCTCCTGAGTAAGTGGGATTACAGGTGCTTGCCACCACATCTGTCTAATTTTTGTATTTTTAGTAGAGACGGGGTTTTGCCATGTTGGCCAGGCTGGTCTCAAACTCATGACCTCAAGTGATCCACCCACCTCGGCCTCCCAAAGTGCTGGGATTACAGGCGTAAGCCATCGCACCTGGCCTAAACTTCACTCTAAAAGGCTTAATTGAGGCTAGGTATGGTGGCTCACACCTGTAATCCCAGTAGTTTGGGAGCCTGAAGGCTGAGATCAGGAGTTTGAGACCAGCCTGGCCAACATGGTGAAACCCTGTTTCGACTAAAAATACAAAAATTAGCCTGGTGTGGTGGTGCACAAATGTAATCCCAGCTACATGGGAGGCTGAGGCAGGAAAATTACTTGAACCCGGGAGGCAGAGTTTGCAGTGAGCCAAGATCATGCCACTGCACTCCAGTCTGGGTGATAGAGCATCCATCACATAAATAAATAAATAAATGGCTTAATTGGGAACTTTCTGAATGCATCATGCTACTAATTTCTCTTGAGAGCCTTTATTTTTATTTTTACTTTTATTTTTTTGAGATGGAGTCTTGTTGTGTGTCCCACGCTGGAGTGTAGTGGTGCCATCTCAGTTCACTGCAATCTCTGTTTCCTGATTCAAGCGATTCTCCTGCCTCAGCCTCCAGAGTAGCTGGGATTACAGGTCCATGTCACCACACCCAGCTAATTTTTATACTTTTACTGGAGATGAGGTTTCACCATGTTGACCAGGCTGGTCTTGAACTCCTGACCTCGATCCTTCAGCGTCGGCCTCCCAAAGTGCTGGGATGATGGGCTTGAGCCACGGTGGCTGGCCAAGATCAATTTTTGAGTTTAGGAGAAAACCAAGGCGTTATTCATTCAGCAGTGTGTATGTAATAGGCTCAAATGCATTTCAGCTGTCACAGGACATGCTCTCTTAGGGAGAGCTGTTCCTAAGTAACTCAAGGCGGGACTTGGTAAGTGCAAAAGTGAAGGGTCATGAAAGTTAAGTGAAGAGTGACTTGGTCCTTGAGAGATTTTGTGGGCAGAGAGATTGGGGTTCAGTTGGGGTGGAGAGCATTCCAGGAAGAGGAAGCAACACAGGAAGAAGGGGGCGGAGACAGGAAGAAGAAAACCCATCAAAACCGAAACAGGAAACCAGGTTACCCACAGACATAACTGCTTTAGAACAAGCAAGTGGGCTGAGCGTGTGGCTCATGCCTGTAATCCCTGCATTTTGGGAGGATGAGGTGGGCAGATTGCTTGAGCTCAGGAGTTCAAAACCAGCCTGGGCAACATTGCAAGACCTTGTCTGTACTAAAAATAAAATGAGCCAGCTGTGGTGGTACGTGCGTGTAGTCCCAGCTATTCAGGAGGCTGAGGCAGGAGGACTGCTCGAGCCCAGGAGTTGGAGGCTTCAGTGAGCCCTCTTCACAATACTGTACCCCAACTGGGGTGACACAGCAAGAGCCTGTCTAAAACAGGGAAAAAAGAGCAAACAAGTAGGCATTCCTGTTCCTGTTTCCTCAGGTTAGGGTTCTTTTCAAAGGAGCTTTTCAGGTGGCCAAATATCAAAGATGAGCCAGCCTCCCCCGAGCCTGTGGACTCCACGGTGAGGGGAGCCGGCTGTTTCTATGATACCATTGTGCAGTTGTGCCTCACACAGGGCGATGAACGCAAGAATCGGTCAAGTAATAGAGGCTGCTTTGGCTTGCGTGTACCTCCGGGAACTGGCAGAGAGTAATATTAGTTGGTGTTGCCTCAAAAGCAGGCTTTCCCAGCCTCGGCTCTACTGACCGTTGGGGACGGCACAGGAGGAAGGGGTGTCCTGTGCATGGTGGGACTGAGCAGCCTCCTGGCCTGCACCCGCTGGATGCCTGGAGTACCATCTACCCTCTGTTGTGACAAACAAAAATGTCTCCAGGCCGGGCACAGTGGCTCACGCCTGTAATCCCAGCACTTTGGGAGGCCGAGGTGGGTGGATTGTCTGAGCTCAGGAGTTTGAGACGACCCTGGGGGCAACATGATCAAACTAAGTTCACCATGTCTCTACTAAAATACAAAAAATTAGCTGGGCTTGGTGGTGCACATGTGTAACCCCAGCTACTCAGGAGGCTGAGGAGAATCGCTTGAACCCAGGAGGTGGAGGTTACAGTGAGCCAAGATGGTGCCACTGCACTCCAGCCTGGGCCACAGAGCAAGACTGTGTCTCAAAAAAAAAAAAAAAAAAAAAGTCTCCAGAAATTGCCAAATGCCTTGGTGGGGGAGGAAAAGGGGGAGCATTGTCCCCCGCTGAGAGCCCTGCCTCCAGAGGCTGCATCCAGCCTGGGTTCCTTGCCTGAGTTATGAGGAATTACCCCCACGAAATAGGTGAAAACCTTGATTAGTAGGAACGTGGCAAACTAGGCGCCTGTTCTTCACCTGCACCCTTTAGGTCCTTAGGGCCACATTTGTCTCACTCACTGCCGCCGTCATTTTAACTTTCCTTCAAATCATTAACAAAGCCACAAAATGGAGTTGAAGTTGTCTTATAATAAGGAAAAAAGTCAAATTGGAAGGACGTAAAGAGAAAGGATGAGATAGGAAGTTTATTTAAGTCTATCAGATATCAACTTACCCATATTTATCTGTACGAGAAGTTTCTAACTACTCATGGCTTTAAACTCTGGCCTCTGGCCCTGGCGGATGCTTTCACGTTCATTTTCCTGGACATGCTGCCTCTTTTCATCAGGCTAAAGTCATTAGGGCCCCAAAGGAGGTGGCTTCAGTATCGCCACCTCTGGCACAGATACCAGGGGCGTGGCTTTCTCAGAAGGTCTTGCCTGGCATCCATGCCAGCATGGGCCTGTGGCTGGATATGGGTTCCCTCTTGACTTACTGTCCCAATAGTTCTCCAGTCTCTCCCCAACATCAGCAATATTGGTGTCCCAGAAAGGAACAATTAAGGGGACAAATGCCAGGCAGGAACAGTGGAGGGGTGGGACAGGCCAGCACCTGTCATTCCTAGGGTGGAAATGGATGGCCTGTGTGTTCCTTGGCTGCCTCAGAGTTGAATATGCAGAGACGCTTAAAGTCAAGCACCTCAAAAAGCAGCAAAACCAAACCCACCTGTTGTGGGATGATGGCTGGGCACAGTGGCTCATGCCTATAATCCTAGCCCCGTGGGAGGCCAAGCCACGAGGATCCCTTGACCTCCAGACCAGCATGGAGTAAGACCCCAGCTCTACAAGAAATGATGAAAAAGATTAGCCAGGTGTGGTGGTGCGTGCCTGCAGTCCCAGCCACTCAGGAGGCTTGGGCAGGAGGATCTCTTGAGGTTGGGAGGTCAGGGCTTGCAGTGAGCCGTGATTATGCCACTGCATTCCAGCCTGGGTGACAGAGTGAGACCCTGTCTCAAAAAATTTAGGAGGACAAAAAATAACAATACATGGAGTTCTAGCTGATTATGAAGTGTGTCGGGGGTTGGGTGTGGGGGAAGAATAACACACATTGAAGGAGCGAGTGGCAGCCACTGCGCCAAGCCCTGCTCACACACACAGTGCTCCCGGACCCCCAGCAGGCGCTCTCATTATCCGCTTGGCCAACAGAGAAACTAAGGCGTGCAGGGAAGGTTAAGTCAGAGAGCTAAGTGGAGGATCCAGGACTGGAGCCTGGGATGCTGGTCCTTCCTCATCGCCATTGTTTTCAGGGGTTGTTTAAGAAATGCATTGCATAGCTGCTGTTTGTGTATTGATGAGCTTTCAGAGATGTCCGTTATTTATTAGATATTTTTCAGCCTTGTCGAGAGGAGACCCACTTCCTGTAAAGGAAAGGATGGAAATACCCACAGCAACACAGAAAACAGACACAGGCCTGACTCAAGGACTCCTTAAAGTTTTGCACAAGCAGGTACGAGGGGATCTGTGGCCTCAGGCAGCTGCCCTGTGCTTTCCTTACCGTTCACTGTGGTGATGACGGAGCAGGACCCACCCCAGCGGCACATTTCAAAATCTCCAGAGGTCCCTGAAGTCCCGCCTTCTCTGCGACGCATCATCAAGCTTTATTCAAGGAAGAAATACATTGTGTTCATGAGGTCTTTTTCTAGCTTAACCCCAAGTAACTATCTGGGGGTGGATTTTAGAAAAGTGAAATATAATTTCTTTTAAATAAAAAGTTTAGATGACACTAGATTCTGCTAGGCAAAAAATACAAATTTCCAGAACCTGGAGGGTTTCCAGTCTGTTCTCCAGGTGTGTATTTGTGAAAGCCGTGTATGGGCCTGAGTGAGCCTCTGCCTTCTCCATCTGGAGGGCAGGGCTGCCCTTTGGCACCCGCGGTGGGCAGCGGCCTCTGGTGTCCAGTTCTGTGGAGAGCCTGGGCCCCCTTCCTGCCTTGCACTTGGCCCCACACATCATCCTGTTTTTAGAGACGTGGGTAACGGAGCAAGGCTTGGCATTCCTTATGACTTGGTTCTTTTGCTAAAAGTGACACCAGTGGCATAACCTTGATTTTCAAACTGACTTATCCCCATTCTACGTTGTGAAGTGCTGTGCCTTCTGCACAGAATACGCTGAATTTTGAAACTAGGACTTTTCCATGGCTACCTTAAGGGAAACAAATAACTTTGGAATGGTTGAATGGTGTAGCTTGGGAAAAGACACACTGAAATCACTCAAAGCCTTTTCACCCAGATACTGCTAGCAGAGTACAGAAGTTATGAGTCTTGACAGATTGTTTAAAATAGAAAGAAGGCTGGGCACGGTGGCTCACACCTGTAATCCCAGCACTTTGGGAGGCCGAGGCAGGCAGATCACTTGAGGTCAGGAGTTCAAGACCAGCCTGGCCAAAAAGGTGAAACTTTGTCTTCAATAAAAATACAAAACTTAGCAGGCTGTGATGGTGAGCCACTGTAATCCCAGGCAACAGAATGAGACTGTCTCAAAAAAAAAAAAAAAAAGAAGGAACCCATTTATTTTCAGTTTTAAGATTTATCCTATCTAATCTGTTAGAGACTGTTAATCTGTTTAGAGACCGTATTTCTAAAATGTTTTTACTTACCAAGGTTTATTTTTTATTGTGAAGCACTTCAGACAGTAGAATGTCATATACCCAGTATCTGTATGCCTATTTCATTAAGTCATAACATGACGCTGTATCCACGTCACCATCCTTTTTTCATTTAAGAAATAAAAGGTTGCCGCTCACCACCTTCTCTGCCCCACTCTCCAGGGCCGACGCAACCCACTGCCATGAGTTTGGAGTTCATCGTTCTACGGCGTGGGGTGGGTAACTTGGTGTGTGTTGAAGTATTCACGAGCATTCTGTTGCTTCCCAGGTTTTAAAACATACATGCATTGTGTCATACTGTGTTTTCTAAACAGTGTCACCACAAGAGATACGTGGAACTAACCGATCTGGAGCAGAAGTGGAAGAATTTGTGCCTGCCGAAGGAAAAATTCAAAGCACTCTTACAACTGGATCCTTGTAATAACAAAATCGAGTGGATAAAATTCTTGGCACTTGGATGCAGCATGCTTGGTGGGGTATGTACCCATATACAGCATATTATTAGTAATTCTGAAATGTGGTTTCAGTAGCTAAAGGGAGCACGTTGGTAACTTTGTCTTAGAAAAGCATTTTCCCCCCAGAGGCCTATTATATTAATATTGTCAGGCTTATAGTTATTTTAGTTTACAGAAATGACTAATGAACACCTCAATTTAGAAGTTAATAGTAGATGAAAGATTTGGATGCTATTAAAATATATTTAGGTTTTAGAAGAAAATGCATCAATGTCTTTTTAAAACTACAAATCATTTTGTGAACTGTTACCTGTTTTGCTGATCTGTGGAAAGAGGCGTACACTTATTTTCTACTTCAGTTGAAATCTATTATTTTTATTTTATTTATTTAGTTTTTGAGATGGAGTTTTGCCCTTGTTAACCAGGCTGGAGTGCAGTGGTGTGGTCTCTGCTCACTACAACCTCCACATCCTGGGTTCAAGGAATTCTCCAGCCTCAGCCTCCCGAGTAGCTGGGATTACAGACACGTGTCACCACACTCAGCTAATTTTGTATTTTTAGTGGAGACGGTTTCTTGATGTTGGTCAGGCTGGTCTCGAACTCCTGACCTCAGGTGATCCACCCGCCTCGGCCTCCCAAAGTGCTGGGATTACAGGCGTGAGCCACCCACACCTGGCCTTAGAAATCTATTATTAATAACTAATAGATACAGTGCAACTTTGCTGATGTTCGAGTATAAGCCAAGAGACTTAGGAATAAGACATGATCCTCCAGGTGATGCAGTGAGCCTGGGAGGTCGGAGTGAGAAGGGAGAGATCGGAGCTGGGATGATGTCGGCAGGACTTCCTTTGCAAACCCAGCGTTGGTCTTCTCAGCTAGTCTTGCTGTGAGACGTGGTTGAGTGAAGGGAGAGTAACCTGGCATTAGCCATGTTAAGCTTATGAAGAAAGGAGGCGGAGAAAGGAGAACCGACTCCCTTGACTACATAGGCGAACACTTTTCTTTTACTCCCTCCCTCCGATCTGTGGCCCTGCGAGTGTAACTGGGTGCGCCGTGGTCCTTGCTTCACAGCCCACACTCAGCTCTGGTTCATGCATAGACTTCTTTCATTCCATTTTAATTGGAATGAATTACTTGAAACGGGTGATGGCAAACACCCGCAAACCTACCCAGTGTGGTCACGAACACACCGTCACTTCCAACCACCTGTGTCCTCTCCCATGTCCCATCCCCCTGCCGGGCAGCCTGAAGCCACATTTCCAAAGCTCCTGCTTTCTGTTCCCTGGCCTCCTAAACACAGGTTTCTGTGTCCCCCAAGAGGTACATTGCAGAATTTTAGTTGGTTTTGACTAGATGAAAGACAACTGTGTTGTAATTTTCTGAATTTTTCATTCTAAATGATATTACTAGATGTATTCGTCTGTAGCATCACAGGCCGAATAGTTCATTCCCTTCCTCCGCCTTGTCACATCCAGTGTAGAGTTCACCAGCGGAGGGCCCCAGTGGGAAGCTCCGTACGCCCTCAGGGAGTCGGGTGTGGTGTGGCTGCAGACTGAGCAGGAGTTTTGTTGTGTAACTGCCCAAAGCAGTGGAAGTGCTTCCTGGCAGCCCCGGGCTAACTGAGCCAAGGAAGGCCTGGATGCTGGCAGCCCGGGTACCCTCCAGTGGCAAGGACAGGTGCAGATGGCAGCAGGGGAGTGTTTTGGGGGGGTACTATCAAGATAGACTAAGGCAAATATGTTTTGTTATTGGAGACATTTTTATGTCACTTTGTTCATCTGGAACTCTTTGAAACCTGTCTATCATCTATCTATCTATCTCTCTGTCTATCCATCCATCTATCTGTCTATATCTGTATCTAGCTATGTATTTTTGAGATGGAGTCTCACTCACTCTGAACACCCAGGCTGGAGGGCAGTGGTACAATATCAGCTCACTGCAACCTCCCAGGTTCAAGCGATTCTCCTGCCTCAGCCTCCTGAGTAGCTGGGATTATAGGCATGCACCACCATGCTTAGCTAATTCTTGTATTTTTAGTAGAGATGGGGTTTCACCATGTTGGCTTATATCATATAATAAATATAATTATTTATATAATATATAAATATATATAATATATTATATATAAAATATCAACATATCTCTATCTATCTATTTGTCTATCCATTTATATATATTTTAGACAGAGTCTTGCTCTGTTGCCCAGGCTGTAGTGCAGTGGTGTGATTTGGGCTCACTGCAACCTCTACCTCCTGTGTTCAAGTGATTCTCATGTCCCAGCCTCCCAAGTAGCTGGGATTACAGGTGTGCACCACCATGTCTGGCTAATTTTTTGTATTTTTAGTAGACACAGGGTTTCCATGTGTTAGCCAGGCTGGTCTCGAACTCCTGACCTCAGGTGATCCACCTGCCTCAGCCTCCCAAAGTGCTGGGATTACAGGCATGAGCTACCATGCCCAGCCCTGAAATCAATATCTTAATATATAATTGTATGTAGTATTTGAATTAATGTTGGTAGTTTCTGCCTCTAAGCTTAGTTGTAAAATTTTGATTTAACGATGATGAGAAAGTAGAATAATTCATGTTTTTGGATCCATCTTTATAATTTTCACCTTCGTAGTTGTGAAAATTAAGAACTAGGTGTAAAACAAAATCAAATCTGATTTGGAAAATCAGGTCTGTTGTCCCTGTAGAGTGTGTGACACTAGATGGAGACATTGTGTTAGGGATAGAACTTCACCATCTCAACTGACTCCTGGGGAAGAGACATCACAGACAGCACACATTCTTTTGTTTTCTTCTTATCATATGTTCCTTTACCCACAGGGAATATGTTTACGCAGGAAATGTGCTGTGGGTCACTGCACGTTCCTGCCTATCTCCTAACTTGAGCCACCTCTGGCAGCAGGGCTCCAGGTTTGCCCTTGACTCCTTCCGTAGGTGCTGGAGGCCCCTGCTGGTCATAGAAAGCCTCAGCCACCCTCTGCTCTGGTCCCGTGCGGCTCTGGACTCAGGATCAGGTTCAAGTGTGAAAGCGGGTATCTCCTCCCTTAGAGGAGCATGTGGTCGTCTGGGGTCCATGTCAGCTGCCAGGGACACCTGCTTTGCCCTGGCTCCCTCAGCCCACAGAGTGCTCAGCATGAGTTCAAACACCTGCCTCGGGGTGCGCCAGGTAGACAGGAGGTGCTTGGACCCGCCGGGCCCTGGTGTGGACATGTGTGTCGTTGACCGTGCTGGCCCCGGGTAGCTTGGAGGGGCGCCAGGAACACAAAGCTGTGAATTCCAGGAGGGGTTCTTCATGTTGTTTGGCATCCTAAGCGTTCATTTTTATACATTTAGAAAACACTTCAAAAAGGAGGGAATAAAGAAGCGAAGTGGGATGAGAAGTAACTTGTAGTGGATTGGTGCCTGCAGAAGTTTATTTCTCATAGGGTGCTGTATAGCTGGTGTCTAGCCACTGCCTGCATGAGCGGGATAGATGTCATTCCTGCTCCCTTCGTGCATGGCGTGGGCGTGGCTGGTGGCAGGTGTCCATTCTGTGCTGTTACATTTCTCTTAGAAGTAACTCTAGTCCAAGTCATTGAGTTGACAATCTCTAAAAAGACTGGAAACCTCTGTTTCAATTTCTGAGTCAAATGTATCATTCATTCATTCCACAAATGTTTACTGTGGATTACTTTGTGCTAGGCCCTGTTCTAAGTGCTGAAGGTTCTGGAGTGAACAAGGTGGGCAAACATCTCCAGATTCTTGGGACCGATGTCCTGTTGTACCCTTGGAGGCCTGAACACTGCTCTAGTTATTACATCCAAAGCTACCCATTCAGGGGCACTGCGAGCTGCCCCAGGCAGGTGAATAGGACGTTAAATTGCCATCTGGGTGTTTAAAGACTCCTGTCCTCTCTCTCAATGTCTTGATGTACATGTTGTGACTTTTGTTTTACTACATTTTTTTTTTAAGAGACAGGGTCTTTTTCTGTCACTCAGGCTGGAGGGCTGTGGCATGGTCATAGCTCACTGCAGCCTCGGCCTCCTGTACTCGAGCGATCTTCCCACCTCCCAAGTCACTGGGATTACAGACATTCAGCACCACACCCAGCTGATTTTTCATTTTTTGTAGAGACAAGGATCTTGCCATGTTGCCCAGGCTGCCTGAGCTCAAGCAATCCTCTGTCCTTGGCCTCCCAAAGTTCTGGGATTTATAGGTGCAAGACACAGAGCCTGGCTGACTTTTATTTTTCCATTTCTGCAGTGCCATTGATGATCCTGAGCATTAAAGCTGTGGATGAAAATGTTTTGTTTTGTTTTTTTAAAGGTTGGGGATCTTTTTTAACGTATGAAAATTGTGAACCAGGTCTTTCATCACCATACTCACACTGACAGTCAGTCCCTCATGATCAAAACAAATAACGACTTCAGTCAGGCTCTAAATGCATTTGAACTTTGTTAATCACAGAAGCCTCTCCGCTTATAACCGCAGATCCACACCTGTCTAGTGTAGCTTTCCTTCTGAACAGGGTGCGTGCAGTGGGCATGATTTCTAGTGTTTTCCTGTGTGGGGGAGTGCGCAGAGCTCTGCGCGTGTGTTCTCTGGAATCTTCTCAACAGCCCTTTGAGGAAGGCACTGTTTGCCGGAATGTAGGCTGGTGCCCCAAGGCAGAGAGAGGTCAAGACACAGCAGGTGACTTGGAAGTGGGGAGAGGGAGGACCCATCCTAGTGGTTCCGTAGCCCAAGGAGTGTGCAGCCCACAGGTTAGGACCACCTTTTCAAGTTTACGCCTGAGATTTCCTGTCTTGGAGAATAACAACTCCTCGGGATGATCATCAAAATCATTTTGTGTCCGAAAGTGATTCATAGCCTGAACGGCATTCGGCCCCGGCCTCCCCTGACACTGACTCGGGAGTTCTCAGCACTTCACCCCATCCAGCTGTGCTACAGTGTGTGGGATTTGGTGACTGACCCATCTCGGTACCCTGCTGGCCTGACGCGATGGCGCCTGCACCAGTGACAGAGGCTGCATCTTG